TTTATGTTTGAAAAAAATTCGTCTCTGAGTCTTTTTGCCTGCCATAGTTTGTTAATTTAAAAAGTGGTGATTTGTGGGAAAAGTGGCTACTTGTACTCACAGACCCATCACCTAGGTGTTTTTCCTCTTGACAACCACTGAAATGTCGTTGAGAAATAGAACTGCTTCCTGAGCACAACTCATCTCGTCACACAGAATACCGAATAGAGATGTGCCATAGGGGCAATGTTTCCTGAATATCTCCACAGATAGAACAGTATTCTGAAGTACACTGACTTTAAGTCAGGGCACATGGAGGTGAAGTAAACAGTGCACTTCCAAGCCACTGCCCTGACTTGTACTCAAGCCCAGCAGTTCCACACTCCGTGAAAACATCAGCCTGGGGAGCCCAAGATAAGCAATCAGAAAATCTACTTAGTACAGAGTGCTCCAGTACCCCCTGTGTTTTCTCTCGGGTACTGATGTAATACAGTGCTTGGATGGTTGAATCATGCTGACAGCATATAAATCCAAAGCGATCTACAACTGTAGATCAATTCATTTTAAAGGCAAAAATAGAAGTTTATAGACAAGATATTCAATCACTGTTTTTGTTGTCAGTCAGCCAATTTCTGCATTGCCAGAAAATGGCGGTGCCCTGATGTCATTTATGAATTTCCCGCTCAGCGACATTCAGCCTGGGCACTCCTAGGAGGCTGTGCCGCTCTCTCCAGGACTGTGTACTGTAATGGCCAATGCAGTGGAATGTCAGCCTACAAAATGCTGCAGTGAGTTTTTCTTTTTATTTCAGTCTGGGAAGTTAGCATAATTATTTGATGTCTTAAGCATTTGCCACTCCTACATTTAAGTTGTTGATTCCTTTGCTTTAAGCTTTGAATCATTGATTGGTTTCAAAATGAGCCTGCAGCTTAAAGTGGCCCAAAATATTATTTGAAAATGTTCTGTTGGAGAAGACACAATAACATAATGCCTATTGAAAAATAGTTTTCACTATATTCTAACTCCTTATATAAATAAGCTTTACCAGTTCTCGCGTGGTAGATTCGTTGAGTCAGAGCACTCTATGACACTCATCTTTCTCAGAACCTTAGAGGTAAACAAAAAGCTTTTTGTTGAAACAAAATTTTCTTCATTGTGCTAAAACATAAATAACATAAAACCACCATATTGACCATTTTCAGTGTGCAATTCAGTTGTATGAAATGCATTCACATTGTTGTGCCACCATCACCACCATACATTTCTAGAATATTTTTCTCATTCCATAATTAAACACTATTCTCATTAAACAGAAATCCTTATTCCTTAGCCAGTGACTCATTTCTTTAAAAATACATTTATTTGAAAAGTGGCAAATATTGCCAAACAAACACACATAAAGAACACACTTGTATCCTTGTGTTTCCATATACAGAAAGGGAGAGACAGAGCCAGTTCTCGTCCACTGATTCACTTCCCAAATTACAATAACAGCTTGGACTGGACCAGGCTGAAGCCAAGAGCATAGCTAAAATTAAAGACAACCTAAAGATCTGTGATTGGACATTTGAGTAGAGCTTTTGTGGAACTAATCCTGTGTTGCAAGCATAAACATGTACAATCATTTGAAAGTGGATCTGGCAATTTCTTTTTTTAATTAATGGCAATTTCTTAATACATCTGAGCTTACACCTACCATATATGGTCCAGAAATTCCATTGCTAGGTATACTTACCCAACAAAAAGTAAAAGCGTATGTCCAGAAGTTTGTTCAGGAATGCTCAAAAAAATTTGTCTATCAACAGAAGTCTGGATAAACTAATACAGTGGATTTTATCCTAATTTGCTTCAATTTTCCAAGTTGTGGAACTTCAAATACTGAAAACCAGAAAGACTTAGTCACTCTGATTATCCCTTCAATAAGAAAAGTGCTAATACATCCAACAGCATGAGTGAATCTTATAAACATTTCACTGAATGGTTGAAACCTAGCAAACAACTCATATTCTGTGATTCCACTTCCATGAACTTCTAGAATAGACACAACGAAGTTCTCAAGATGAAGGCTGGAGACTATTTCCTTTTGAGGGTTTGGTTGATGGGAAAAGTTTTAAGGGAGATTTTTGGAGTAATGATATTTTAGTAGAGATTTGTATTTAATAGGTATGTACATTTCTTTAAAATGAGTGATAAGTGAGGGCTTGTGGATTCCAGAAGTATCTGTAAACATTGTCAGGATGTGGACAGTGAATGCCTACAGATGAATGTAACCTACTTCAGTTTTCAAGTATGGAATTTGTTTAGAAGTGATGTGGGTGGCAGACGCAGGAGAAAGAGAACTATTCCTCAAGGAGTCCTCCTGAATGGTTTGTTCTGGCTTTTTTCATTTTTGAGAGGTTCTCTGCAAATTTCTAAATCACATTTTTCATGTTGCTAGACTCTTTTCCTTTTGTAACCCTATATTTTGAAAGCTGAAGCATTCCATTTTCTGAATCAGTGGTGGTTTTTTTCATTGTTGTATAATTTACCTAGAGGTTGTTTTATTAATTGCCTTGGTGTTATTCTGTTCTTTCCTCACATCTTTTTGAAAAGGTGTTTGTATTATTTACAGATATAATCAAAGTCTGCATCATAGCCTATTTCTTTCTCACAGTCATTTTATTTCTCAAAACACTGGATAAAAGCCTTGGTACCTATCTCAGAGACTGATACTTACAGAACTGCTTTCTGTGTCTTGTTACCTTTAATAATCTTGTTTCCATATCTTGCTTCTTTAATGATAGAATGCTTTTAGTATTGGATTTGAATTGATTTCTAAGTTAATGCTCATCAACTTTTTTGACTCACAATATAAAATGTACATTACAGACATTTTCAGCTTTAATTTTTTAATTTAATCTTGCCAGGATTTGCTTATTTTCACATATACCTTGTGTTATGGTTGTAAATTAGCTCAGAAAAGATACTCTGATATTATCTCAGAGTTTGCAAGTGTCTCTTATCTTTCCTTTCTTGGTGTACCTCGAAAGTGTATTGTTTTTATGAGAGAGTCAGTCATAATAATAATTCTGTATCCTGACAGCCCAGTGCAACCTGTTTCTGTCCTGAAATTAATAGGCTTTTAACACACATAAACATCAGTGCAATTGCCCTTGTTGTAATATTAAGAGGTTATGAAAGGGCAATGATTACTAACTGTTTCAAAGGGTAAAATGTTGCGGCTTGGGGTACCAGTCAAAAGTGTGTATCCAGACATGGTAGCCATGAATGAGGCAGCTCCAAGTGCACACTTACAGGTGCAATCCATCGGACTCCCACCTACCACCAGCAGTATTGCTGGCACTATCTCCATTTTCTATACTGTTTCAGCAATGCTTGATAAAATTCTGAACAAAAAAAAGTACAAATTTCCCTTAATTTGCACATTTTAATGTGTGTCAGGAAGTTTGGGCATCTGTTCAAACACTGCAAACATAAACATTGCTTATATGTTAACCTCAGTTGGGTTATATTTTTTTCATCATACATGGCTCTTACATCCTCAGGAATATTTGGGAGGACGTGTGAACGCTGTGAAGGTCAGAGGACAACTTTCCTTTGGGGAAGACTCCCCTGTGAATTGCAGATTGTCTAGCATCCCTGGGCCTTGTGCACAGAACGCCATATGGACCCCTTGGTCATTTTGTCAAGCACAGTCTTCAAAACATTGCGTTGAATCTCAGGAGTGTTTTTCTCAAAATACTGTCTTTAGCATAAAATACATAGAATCAGACAAGAAATCCAGTGTTAATGAAATACAGACCGCAAGTTGAGAGGTGATACTACAGCTCTCTATTACACGCACTACAGTAAAACACATTAACATTTTTAAAAGATTGATTTATTTCTGCTTAAAAGGGAGATTTTATAGAGAACGAAGAGACAGAAAAGTCTTCCAGCTAACAGTTCACTCCCCAAATGTCTGCAATGGCCAGAGCTGAGCCAATCCAAAGCCTGGAGTTCTTTCCCAGTCTCCTGCATGGTGCAGGGGACAAAGACTTGGGCCGTCCTCTGCTGCCTTCCAAATCGTGGGCAAGAAGCTGGATCAGAAGTGGAGCAGTAAGGACTCGAACCAGTGCCCATATGGGATGCTGGCAATACAGGCAGAAGTTTAGCCCCTATGCCACCACACTGACCCCTGTAGAAGGTTATATATCTGTGTAAATGGTGAAAGCCACGGACTTAAAGTATGGATTTGAAGGTTTTTTGGGGGACTTGGATTATTTTGTCATTAGCATAATGGCAACTGATACTGTCTAATGTAGTGCAGTCAATAGCATAGGAACTATGTTTCTATTCTATTATTTTTAAATATTTATTTTTTTATTGGAAATTCAGATGTACAAAGAAGGATTTCTGTCCACTGATTCACTCCCCAAGTGGCCACAATGGCCAGAACTGAGTCAATCTGAAGCCAGCAATCAGGAGCCTCCTCTGGGTCTCTCACATGGGTACAGGGTCCCAAGGCTTTGGGCTGACCTTGACTGCTTTCCCAGGCCACAGGCAGGGAGCTGGATGGGAAAAGGAGCAGCTGGGACACGAACTGGTGCCTATGTTGGATCCTGGAGTGTGAAAGGCAAGGACTTTAGTCACTAGGCTATGGCACCAGCTCTCTATTCCAATTTTGTACTTGAAGTTAGGTGCAGGGACTTCAGCTTTTGTTTTCTTTCGTCTTTATAACTAAACAATATTTCCAATTAGCATCCATTAAAATTGGTTTTTTTTACCAACTTGTTTATTCATGTATTACTTAAGAGAATAAGGTGACCTTGGCAGAAGAAAATCTTTCAGCTGCCACTTGGCAAGTTGGCAACATATTAACTTGCAAATACTCAACACCAGCTATTCTAGGAATGGGAATTGTAAGTCAAGATAATCGAGTTTATTTCAGTGAGTAGGAGTACTTTGCAAGAGGTGACCTGGTTGTATGGGCAGGAGGAGCTTTCCGTGACAAATGTAATGGTGACTTTTGTTTCCTCTAGGGCATGTCTCTGTGCCAGACGGTGGTCGTGGGCTCTGTCGTCACCCTTCTCTACTGCTCCAGAGCTTGTTACAATTTGGTGGTGATCGCCATATCTCAGGACACATTAGAAAGTCCATTTAATTATGGTTGGGATAATCTGTCAGACAAGGTGAGTACCTATCGTGTATTGCCAATCTGCGGTGTGGTCACTGTTGGCCATTAGTAGGATGGTTCACCTTTGACCTACAAACACTTTACCGGATCTCTGTCTGCTCTCAGTGATCAGAACCAAAGCTCTATTTAAAAATCATCGTCTACATGGCTGGCTTTGCAGCACAGTGCGTTAAGCCACTGCTTACAGCAACAGCATCCCACATGGGAAAATTGGTTCAAGTCCCAGCTACTGCACGTCCTAGTAGTCCCTGCTAATGTGCTAATATCTTGTCCCTTGGTTCCAGGCTAGCCATTGTGGCCATTTGCAGAGCAAACCAGCAGGTAGGAAGATTCTCTCTCTGGCTCTGCTTTTTGAGTAAATAAATATTTAACAAAACTTTTTTTTTAAAAAAATTATCATTTTGCAGCAGCATTTGGCCAAATTGTTGTAATCCTCACACCCCACATCCAAGTACCACCCTTGGCTCCCTGTGTTGGGTCCGTCTTCCTGCTGATGGTGGTGACAGCTCAAGTCAGATGGGTTGAGTTCTCAGGCGCAGCTTCAGCCTAGCCCAGCGTAGCCCATGGCACGCACTGGAAAATGAAATAGAGGCATGGAATGTTCTCTCATTCTCTCTAGATTTTTGCCTTTCAAATTACACAAAAGGAAATGTTCACAACACAAATTTGTGTAAAACTCCTCATTTGCCTGTCACTTGAAATTTCTCTTCAGAGAGAATTTCTACCAAAAGTCTTTTCTTTTCTTTTGTTAAATTATGTCACACACTTATCATAAAATTGTTTTACTGATTTTTTTTACTAATTTTTAAAGTTAGTGTTTAAATATCTATACATGAATTAATGTCCTGTCATTAGCCAGGAAGAGATTAACTCCTCCCTCCTGAAGAACCTTGGCATTTGTTTAGTTTTAGGGGTTTAATAATGACTTTCCTTGTTTCCCTGGCATTATCAGTCTCTTGTTATCAGTCATTCATTCTTTTATTCATTCATTCACTTACTGAAAGGCAGAGTTAGAGATAGAACTTCCAAAGACTGGTTGATTCCCAAAATGACCACAGCAGCCAAGGCTGGGAGTAGGCTGGACCAGGAACCTAGAACTTGACCCCAAGTCTCTCTTGTGGGTAATGGGACCTAAACATGGACCATCTTCCAGTGCTTTTCCAAGTGCATTAGCAAGGAGCTGGATTGAGAGTGAAAAAGCAGGGCTCAAATTGGCATCACAAGCTGTGGCTGAACCCACTGGTATTATTTCTTTTTAATTTTATGATACAGCTCCATGGGCTGCAAGATTTCCCCCTCCCTCTCCTGTTCCTCTCTTTGCACTCATTTCCCCTGTTATTATAATAGTATGTCCTTCGAGCACAGCCCTGAGTCCACCATTCTGCTGTTTAAGTGTGTCATGACATTGTAGGCATACACAATGGTAGAAAGTGTAGCATCCTGTTGTCAAGATATATTTAATAGTGTCATTGACAGTTCATCTTTGATTTGGGAGTTGAGATGCATGCTGAAATGTATCTTAACTTCTTGAGATGATAATCCCTATTATACAATGTTTACCTATATGTGTCATTGATCTTATATTTTGCATGAAGGTTGCCTTAGAGAAAACATGTGCTGTGTGTCCTTTTGCATTATTTCACTGAGCATAATGGTCTCTATTTGGGAACATTTGTTGTAAATGGTAGAATTTCATTCTTTCTAATGGCTGAATAATATTCCATGGAATAGATATACCAGTTTCTTTACACACTCCCTTTTTAACAGGCATCTGGGTTTGTTTCCATGTCTTCACTACTGTAGATTGGGCTACTGTAATTCTCATATTCAGATTTCATTTCTCTTGGATATACTCCCAGCAGTGGGACCACAGGGTCATATGGCAGGTCAGTGTTCAGTTCTCTAAGCACTCTCCATACTGACGTCCATAGTAGTCGTACTAGCCTGTACTCCCACCAACAGTCAAGTATAGTATCTTTCTCCCCACATCCGCGCCAGCAAGTGTTACTAATGGATTTTTGAATGTACACTAACCTCACTGGAGTTTTAAAATTTTTTATTTGTGTTTTCCATCAGTATTTCTCTGACACCTAGGGAGCTGGAACATTTTTAGTCACTTGGATATGTCAGTCTTAAGTGAGCAACATTCATCGTACTTTGGTTGCCCAGATATTTGCTAGTCATCTTCAGTACGCTGTGTCATGTATTTTATTTAACTTTGTACTGGATGCAGTGTTCCCTGGAATGCCATTTTTCCTTTATCTTTCTGAGAAGGAATTTGCAAGCATGGTTCTGTGTAGCAGACCCTCTTCACTGCTTCTCCCAACATCGGGTAGAATACAAACAAATTCAATATGGAAACAGGGTTCCAAATCATATGCTAAGTAGCAATTGAGCTGAAAGACGTAACAGGTCACATTTCTGCGCAGGTGTAACGCTGCGTAAGGGTCGTGTGGCCTGCGAATCCCTGGAACATTAGCAGTTTATTAGTAACTCTCCCCAGACTGTGGAGCCCACACGTGGGGGCCGATTTATTACCCAAATATTAAGCTTACCTTCATAAATGGATGCATTGAAGACATGAACAACGTTCTCTGATATTTAACATCAAAAGTATTTCTTTTCCTTTTCTGAAGATGTACCATTATATGAGAAATGACACAACACAGAAAACTTCAAGTTAATATGCCTGCAGTTCGTTGATGTTTTAACTTCCTAGCCAAAAAAAAAAAAAAGAAAGAAAATGTGGCTTGTGAATTCCTGCTCAGAAAACAAACACATGAACCGCTGTGCCATCTTGTATTTACAGGCCCGCATGGAAGACGTAAGTGGAGAAGAGTACATAGTGTTTGGAATGGTCCTCTTTCTGTGGGAACATGTGCCAGCCTGGTCAGTGGTCCTCTTTTTCCGGGCACAGAGACTAAACCAGAATTTGGTATGCTATCAAAATATTCCCCAATGCTGTTGCTTATTTATTTTCTTTTTTTTTTTTTCCTTTTTTTTTGTGGAACATTTACATTGATTTTCTATTTATCAGCACTAAAGACTAAAAATCATTATAGATTTTAGCCTTTTGTCCTACCTGAAAATTAAACCCTTACATCCTCTGTCCACAGGCACCTGCCGGCATGATAAACAGTCACAGCTACAGCTCCAGAGCTTACTTCTTTGACAATCCGAGACGCTATGACAGTGATGATGACTTGCCAAGACTGGGAAGTTCAAGGGAAGGAAGGTAGATATAACAAAGCACTTATGCTGAAATAGTGTTGGATTAAACAATGCAAGTTTTAACTGAAATATGAAGGATGAATTTACATATATGTAAATAAAATCATATAAATCCAGGAACTCCAATCAGTAGACATTACACCTGTGACGGGACCTGCACCTAAAGAGTCATCTAACTCAATGTCTATCCAGTACCTTTATTACGAGAAATGCTTTCCAGGGTGAAATGGCATCATTTTATTACAGGATCCCATGTTAGTTCAGAGGGGAGGGGCACCAGTGGGGGAAGAATATTATTATAGAGATTATGTATCTGTGCCCTTATCCTCACTGCTATTCGAAACAGGAAACTCTTGATAAAATTCCTAGAAACCTTGGATAGGTAGGAAGTGCCCTCCTTGACCCAGAACTGTTACAGGTCCTTAACTAGTCGAGTATTAGTTACGTATCAGGACAGAGAGAAAACCTTAACTCCCAGCCATGCGATTCTTTCATCTTGATGCATTTTCTGCAATCCTAACCTCACCTACACTAGGCTCTTAATCTTTTCTAGTTGATCTTTCGTCTCTATTTTAGAGGTGATAGAAAAAAAAAAGCATATCTAAGAAAATAAAATAGGAATAATAGAACCTTCTTCATGGATCATTGTGAAGATTAAACGGTTTGTGTGTACACATGTATGCATATCTTAAAATAAGCCTAGGACACAGTAAACATACATCATCATTATGTGATAAATCCTATTAATTGAAGTTCATTCCTCTTTTTTGTAACATGTTGATTTAGGCTCAATGTCAACACCATTAAATTGTATGTAAAGTCATCCTTTGGCAAAGTCGGTTGTTTCAATATATTTGATACAAACTTTGATCACAGTGTTAAGACTTCTTTGCCCTTTCTTGTTGTTATTGCAGTTTATCAAATCCACAAAGCTTGGGCTGGTATGGCACCATGACTGGGTGTGGCAGCAGCAGCTACACAGTCACCCCCCACCTGAATGGACCGATGACAGACACTGCTCCTTTGCTCTTCACTTGTAGTAATTTGGATATGAACAACCACCATAGCTTATATGTAACACCACAAAACTGACAGCGTTATCAAATTGTGATTCTTGAATTGTGTTTCATGTGTATATGCAACATGTTCCAATGCCATCTACATAAGCATTCCACTCTCTGTTGCAAATGACAACAACATCTGGACATGTGGCTGGGTCTGGTGGAGAATACAACTGTGACTGTTGGTCGCTGCACAGTAACATGAAGCAAGATGGAAAGGCCAGAGGAGTAATGAGAGATCTGAAGGCACTTGATGGCCTCCCAGCATGTTGCCGTGGGGGCATCAAATGCACACTTGCGAATTTGCACTTTTACCTTTGTTTTGAAAGAGTACACTGCAGTCCCCAAAGTCATACTCCAGCGTTCACCCTGGAACATTACTGTATGCCAACTGGAGGATAGTTTTCCTATATAAATCGAAGCCAGTATATTCTTTGGTGTACTCTGTATGGAATTCTTACCCACTTACAGTTTTATAGTGTGAGCAGTGCACAAAATAAAGATATAAAAATGTTACTCTTTTTAAAAATCTACTAAAATTATGTCATTGAAGACTGTTCTTTTATGTATAATTTTAAGACACTCATTTGGATTCATCAAACAATCATTTTAAACAAATTATACTAGTCATCCTCTCCAGCGATGACAAGCAAGTTCCCTGGAGAGCCACAGTCATTTCTTCAAGAAGAAAACGTACCAGTAAAACTTGTGTGGCTCCTCTGAATAGAATCACCTTATTTTGTATGATGAAAATATATATGTGATCATTTAAGCATGATTCTTCAAGAAAGCAATAGAGATTTTGCATAGGGAGATTTTGGTAGAAACTTCTTGGAACTAAACAAGTTTACAGATGAACATAAGATTTATAAAATGTAAAGTTCTAAGTTAAACTGTGAATACATTTTCAAACGCACTCAATGTATCTGAAACAAGATAACCTGATGTCACTGAATCAGGACTGTCCTCAGGTAAATTAAATCATAAGTCATAGTGAACTCAAGTGCAATACTTACACAATTCCTCCTTTAGTGTCCACACTTTTATACCTTACAAATGGGGAAAGCAAATTAAATTCAATTCAGATTAATTCCAACATTTGACTGAAGAAAAATTTGGGTAGATGGATGAATTAGGTAAGTAAGAAACCCGAAGTTAACAATATTGGAATACTTTTAGAATTAACACCAACTTGAATATCCTGCCCCAAATCTAAACAATTTCTATGTGGTAAGCGTTGATGATGCAGAATGTTTCGATGCACTTTCCACCAGTGTCTATATGGAAAGTAGATGCTGAATACCTCAAGGTGCCAAGGGACCAGGCTTCGTTTGGGAAGTTGTCACAGCATGCTTAAGGACAACTAATTACATATAATTGTGTGCTGGTCTGTTTGTTCAGAACTGGAATCAATACAGCTGTTGTTTTACTTAAAATATCTTTCAACTTTTTCATAACTGATGCAGTAACTTCACAGAAGTGCAACAGTGAAACTCGGAGGGGAAAAGATGAATTTGTTAATGTCCCTGTAATGCCCCGCCCTTTCAGGAGGCGACGCACAGCCAGATAAACTTTTTTTCCATAGTAGCAAGTTCAAATTCAATCAGAAGCATATCTATGTTATTTTGCATTTGGTTGTAAGCTCTCTCATAACCAGATTTTTAAAAAATTATATTAACGTAGCAGTATATTCGGACTGCATCTTATTATTAGCTTTCTCTACAGAATACCCACTGTTTATTTTGCTATTAATCCGAGATATTTAATTATTGAGAGCTATCCACAAACATCTCTCTCGTCTTTGCTAATCCTTGGGGTTTCAGGTGATAAAGTTTCTCTATTAAGGCTTCCCTAGATGATGTTCTTTGACTACATAAACAGAGTATTTTAATTTTTTTTTTAAATAAAATTTAGTTCTTTCGGCTGTGAGGCGATTTGCCAAATTTGAGATTTGCCCGTTTACTGTTCTAAGTAGCATAAATTCTTGCATTTGTTTTTCTTATTCCCATCTCACACAATACATCACCAAAGAGAAATTCTGGCCCGGTTTCTGCTTGCCAATTCCAAAGCACTGGGAGCACTTTAGGTTTGGCCTCAAAAGGAGGAGTTGTTTATGAAATCAAAGGGCTACCGGTCCCCTGTTCATCCGCGCTGAAGCACATGACAACAATTTCAAACCTTGGTGGTTTTCCGCTCGTCCGTGGTTCACTAATGAGAATGAGTTCCTTTGCCACCGTGTGGACTCCTACAGCGATTAGCAGTGTTGGTTTTGATCATTTCATGAGTGGTCATTAATTCTGGAACTCTTGCCACTCACTGATAGCTGGTTGTAATTTTACGGAAGATGTAATTTATAGCTAAAATGGCTTTTTTATGCATAGCTGCTTTTTTATTGTTTAACAGTGTTTCGCAGCTATATGATCAGTTTAACTGGTTGTAAAAATATAGCTGTGGCCAATGAATGTACCGATTTGTTGTTTCACTAAATTGTAAAAAAAAGAAACTGTTAAAAATAAAAGTATTTGTGCTTTTACTTGGAGGTCTGGTTTTTGCATTTTAGTGGACTTCCCTACGTTTATGCCATAGCAAGATTTCTCTAGTGTGAACGCAGAGAAAAATCCCAGCAGGTACACACGGCAGCTTGCTTTTGCTGTGTCATAACTGCATTCAAATGTCTTATCACTTAGTATTATATCTCAATTAGATATCAAGTAGTTTAAAACATTAATGCTATTTTTTTACAAATGCTCAGAAAAATCCTCATGTGACATAATAACCCTTCTTCCTTTCTCTTAGAACTGTAAGAATCAACTGACCTGGCACACAATCCCAGCTGTTTTTCTGACCTTTGTTCAAGTGGGACCCCTTCCCAAGCACACCACGTTCTGAGTCCAGGCCACCTCCCCGGAAGCCTCCTGAACTCCCTGTGAAGTGGAGAGAGGGAAGGTATTTGGAGTGAAAGTAGCAGCTTAAATGTAGGACAGCTGTCACTTTAAACAGTTTACTCAACATTTATTAAGTGTCCATAAGCCAACAGCTGTGCCATGGAGACGCCCAGATGAACAGTTCCTTTTCCTGCCCGTAAGGAGCTCACATTCTAGTAAAGGAGGCTTTAAAATACAAAAACAGTACAGTACAGTCATAATAGAGGTAGGTCGCAATTACAGTGATGACATGAAAGAAGTCAGGGGACTTCACGGAGGAGATGCTTCTAGTGGGCCTGCAAGGCATTACAATCTCCTCCTTACCAGCATGGTCAGGGCACTTGGTGCCAGGAACAGGATGCGAGGTCTGGCCCTGTAGGGGCATTTGAAGAATTCTTTTAAGTCTGTTTTATCAGAACACTGGATGGGGAATGCATTTGAGAAGGATCTGTCTACGGAGCAAAGGAATCTGTCTTTCCCTAGACAGTGCAGGAAGTCACTGAAGAGCAGGTGCTCGCGGCACTACTGTGAAACAACGGACGGCAGGCAGGCTGCTGCTCTGCGCTGCCCGTAACAGCCGTGCAAATGGTAAGAGTGACACATCAGAAGGGAAAACCAGTAAAATGCCAGAGGAAAGGGGGAAAGAGGCTAGGAAGGCGCCCAGAATTCTCAGAAAAAGATGATTCTGGAGTTCATCAAAGTAAGAAACACAAGCTCAGAGGATGTTCTGGGAGCATAACAGATAGACGCAGCCTTCGGTGCCACCGCCTGGTGAAGGACAAAGGCGAGCTGAGCAGTGACTACCTTGGCATTACCCAAGTGTGAGAAGGGGGAGAGTGACTGAAAGCAGGAAGTCCCAGGGGAAACTTGTAAGAGGCCACAAAGGAGGGGCCCAGGGGTGTGTGTGCAGTGTCAGGTGCCAGGGAATAAAGACACTGCTACCGAAGGGACACGGGAGCAGCATCAAACTCAGAAAGAGAGGACAAACAAGAGTCCGCTTTGAATGCAGCTTCGGAATTAGGATTTTAGACTTTACAGGAAAAGACTGGTAAGAACCGCAAAGCCAAAGACCAGATTTTAATTAAGGAGCAAGTGGGAGGTGACAAAGTGAAAGGAATAGGGTTTGAAAAGATGGGCTATTAAAACAGAACACAAGGATGGCATGCAGTGTGAGGGAGGTATGTGCACGCGATGGCCATCTAGGCCTGTGTGCCTGTATCTCCAGAACACAGCGTCCTTACGGAGCAGGCCATCACGTCAGCCCTCCGAGAGGCCCGGCTGACATCAGGGAGTTTCTTGGTTTGTTTTGTTTTTTGTTTGTTTTCCTCCTGCCCTATTCAGAGAAAATGAGTGGAAAAGGGAAACGGGACACGTACTGTCACACAGGGTTTGTGATTATTCCCGTAAGATACCCCGACTACACATTCAACATCTGCAGCCAACAAAGATGTACTGGATACCAACTAGATACCTGGCACTGTACCAAGCCTTAGGGTCGCAAAGAACAGAACTATTCAGCACTGTAAACTGGCATTTCTGAACCATCCCAGACACAAACCCCGCTTCCCTGTCACTGGGACATCCCAACATGCATTACCTGCTAAGACATAAAGAGGGCACACTGAATTTGAGGTATACGGTTTCTTTTTCCCTTCAATTCCCACGTGATATTAAGTCTGAAACCTTTTTAAATATTTTTTTCCCAATAAAGAGTTTTCACTAATGAAAGCCTCCCAAAAATACAGTTCAGCTTTCAGGAGGCAAAGAAAACAAACTTTGTGTATTGAAAAACAAAACACCAAAATTATCACTGTTTCAGATCAAACATAAAGACTCAAAAACTTTAGGCTGGAACTTGAAATTTCTTATTCTAAGGCTTGCTGTATAATGGTCCCAGCATTGCAGGACTTTTTTGTTTTCTGATAAAATCATTTTTAGAAAATTAGTAAGTGTTATCCACTGAAGTTTTTATGGTTTAACGGGCATGATCCTGGAACTTTTAAACGAAGGGTTGGGAAAAATAGTATATGTGCATAACTACAGAGAGCAGGAAGGAGAACGCAAAAAAGGAACAATTGTAACTGTAAATAAATTATCTGTACTATGGTTGAAACATTTCTGTAAATTTGAAATCATATCAAAATGTGACTTCCTCAAAATTGTATTCAGTTAGGGTGACAATATATACTCTGTCAGCTTTGCACGTGCTTGGAAGTCTCCTGTGTCTTTTCTGTTGTTGTTGCACCTTTCTATCACCCAAACAACCCAATCCCAAAAAGTGGTTCTTTTTCATATCAGTATATTTTAGGGCTAACAAAACATAGGACTTCCAGTTAAATTTGAATTTCAGACAGTGAATAAAATTCAGTATAAATAAGCTCCGAATTTTGCATGCAACATACTTTTCTTCAAAAAAAAAAAAAGACTTGCTCTGAAATTCAAATCTAACTGGGCATTCTGCAATTTGATTTGCTAAACCTGGCAACTCTAAATGAATTGAAAAATTCTAGCTGTTAATTACAAGTCCTTCACAGCTCAAGCCACACTGCTGTTTCGTTAAAGGCTTGTCACATTTACCACAGTTTTATTTATATTATGTTTTCTTACAGGAAACTCTAGTTTAAAAGGCTTAAAACATAATTTATGTAGTCTTATCATACATGTATTTGATAATCCTGCTTTTATCCACTATTAAATTTTAAAATTTGTACCACATTATCAAAGTTTACTTTTTACTCACAATATTATACAGACTTAGTACAATTAAAAAAAAAAAAACTGTTTACTTGAAACAATATAATTTTCCTTTTACAAAAGCAGCTTTATATAAAAGGTTTGGCTGAAGACTGTCACTTCTGTATGCCTTGGAATGACATCCACTCTTTGGCCTCCACTGTCCAGAAACAGGCACGTTTCAACTTGTTTCCTTTAATGAATATTTTGTAACAAGTTCCTGAAGTTTTCTAATTCTCTCACACTTGTAGAAATTCTGTAACAAAAAAAAAAAAAAAAAAAAAAAAAGAATTAGACTCGGAAGCCATCTTATATAAATTTTCCCTGTACAAATGAACTCATTTTGCGTATTTATAAAATAGAAAATTTTTTAAAGTCTAAGGTATTTCAGTAAATTGAAGGATACCTCGACCATTTACTCTACCCTGATGGGTTTCTATTGTTTGATATGATAAAACCAAGATAACATAAATCAGTTATTCTAGCATGAAAGTATTGGAATATGAGTAGGGAATGCCTAATTATTAAGACATTTATACAGTATAAGTATTCACAAGTACATGCACTTACGTACTATGACACATGTAAGTATTTAGTAGAAAATAGTATAAATCAGTGTTCAAATATTTAGGCTAAAATGTATTCATCAATATGTTCCTATGCGTAATTTTAAAGTATATAAGTACCAAGTGCATGAATATGGAAATAATCACTTTACATCTGCATAAACATGAATCTTTTAAAATAATTCAACATGTTTAGTAAATGTGCAAGCAATCAAAAGCTATCCAACTAGAAACAATAGATAAGGAATTTGTTTTAAGCGCACTTGAGCCGTCTTCTCCACCACGAAACAAGTAGCCGACGGAACACATAACTCAGTTGTGGGAGCGAGAAAAGTTAGTTGGAAAGTCGATTATTTCAAGTCTCAAGTAATTTCTAGATGAAGAATTACAATCCTTAAAGCTTTTATAAACCTTTATATGATAGGCCAGAAGCAAATAACATCTACACTAAATTTTTTCATGTATATTCTTTACTTTGTGCTTTTCTTTGTGTTATGCTGACGGAAAAGAATTCTTTAAGAAATAATGAATATTTTATAGGATGGTAAATTCACAGAGAAATACATATGTATATACATATACTATATAAAACAACATGATTTTTACAGCATCTTCAAGAAATAGCTGTACTGCACAGCAAAATTGATATTAAACAACTTGAAAACATGTAAAAACTCAGTAAGATAAATACTGAAATGTAATCGTTAAATCAGGCATAATTATGAAAGTCAATAAATGAAGATAAGGAGATCATCAAATGGCCGTGCAGGTCTGCACACGTGAGGCATTTTAGAAAGTTGCATAAGTTAGTCGTGCAATAACTTCAGTAAAGATATGCCTTGCCCACTTTCACTGGAGAATATACATGTTACCTTAGGCTTCACTGGCTAGCAAAATCAGTTTCCACACATTCAAACTGACCTTCCAAATGCATTAAATAATGATACTATTTCTTGTCTGGTGAGATGGAATTCATAACTGGGTCCACTTTCTGGCATATTTGCTATCAGTTTCTCAGAAAACAGTATCTTCAGAGCAGTACCCAAACCCTGAGTCTACAAGAGAAATCAGAAATGAAAAATAAGAAAATTCTTCATGCACAGGATAAACAAAAAAATAGAACTGACACAGCTTTGCTTACCTGAAGCTTTCCCCAGAGTCGGCATTTGAAACAACCAACGCAGTCCATGATTCTTGAGATGTTTCTAAAATGTAGTCGAAAGTCCTCCTAAAAAAACAATGTGACAAGATTTTATTAAGATTCAGCCAACTAGAAATCATTTTCTTCCAAGCTCTCTAGATGCCTTGTGCTGTGCAAATGACCCGTGGGTAAGAAAAGAGCAGAGTCGTGCTCACCCCACTAAGCAGTTCCTGGACTCAGAACCTTGACCTATACCATCACAGTCACTCTACAAACCCAGAAACAAATACAAGTGTAATATACATCGAATAAATTAAAAATACAAGATTAAAAAAAAAGAGGTAACTTGTCCAAGTTTTGACATCTCTTACAAAGCAAACACAGAATGCAGGCCTGCCTACAAAACTAGACCATCTGGGAAAATGCAGAAAGGCGGGATGTGGCTGCCTGGCCTGCAGGTTGAGATGCTCACATCCCACATTAAAGTGCCTGGCTCACTTCCCAGCAGCAGCTGCTGACTCCAGCATCCTGCCACGGGAACCCTGGGGAGCAGCGGTGAGGACCCATGTCACTGTGTTCCCAGCGCCTGGCTCCAGCCTCAGCCCACACTTCTCCTCTCCCTATCGCTGCGGACACTTGAGGAGTCACTTGGGGAGCATTCTGTCATTAACTCTCGCTCTCTGCCTTTCAAGTGAAGGCATTTTTTAAAATAATACACAAAAGTAACCTAATTACAATGTCCTGTTGCCTAAGATTAACAACCATGTCAGAGGCACGTGAACGGGAGCTGGGGGGCTTCAGCTGCCACAAAAAGGAAGGAAAGGAAAAAAGCCACCAGTTTTACAAGTTACATTGCAACCTTTCTTCTTGGTAATAACAATACCATTCACGTACAAAATATGAGGCAGGTATGGAGGCCCCGTGAGCTGAGCTGCTGCTTGGGAGGCCAAGGTCCCATACCAAGAGCGCCACTTCTGAGCAGACTCTAAGATGGACCATGTCAGCCAATGGACCTTGGCAGGGTTTCTTCAACTGTGGGACAACAAAAATCAACAGCATCCCAAAATGCTCAAAACCACGTAAGCAGTATCCTTGGAACATGCATCACATCATGGAGCCTAGGATGACATCGAGTGACCATCCTCCATCCCCAGGTACTGATGCAGGTAGGTTCCTGGGAACAGCCCCTCTCCCCTTCTCTCCTCTCTTTCCCCAAACACGGGAAGAAGGAAAAAAAAAAGCAACTATCTCATCTACTTTCCCCTGTTCCTCAACCCTTCCCACCCTAATCAGTGGTCCACATGGACATACAGCCTTCTCAACTATGTAAAAATCATTAAAAATAAAGTAAATAAACAAACAAAAAACAATTTCAGTTCATGTCCTGGCAATTACTCTTCTGACCCAGTTAATGCGCCTGGGAAGGCAGCAGAAGATGGCCCGAGTACTTGAGTCCCTGCCATCCGTGTGGGAGACTGGAATGGAAATGACTGGCTCCCAGCTTCACCTTGACCAGTCCTGAGTTTTGTGGTCACTTGGGGAGTTAATCAGCAGATGAAAGATATCCCTTTACCTAATTCTTCCCTTTCTGTTGTTCTGCCTTCAAGTACATAAATGAATCTTTGAAAAAAAAATACATATGTATATATATGCAACACAGGACGCATCCAGTGCAGGCACGAGTCTCCTATTAACACACCCAGAGCGCTAAATCCCACCCATTGTCACTACGTTGGATCTGGTGTTCCCTTTTTGTTTCTATATTTTTATATATGTGTGCATTTCCATGAACATTAGTATACTGTAGTTTATATGTAATAAGGCAAATGCAACCAGTTTATCAGAAAGGAGAATATGTCCTTCAGAATCTAAGGAGGGAAGGGAAGCCAAGAATACATCCATCATTTGCGTCCATGCAAATTATCACTGATGATCCCGTGACTCCTCCGGCCTGGCCTTAACAAAGAATTCCAAACTTTATACGGATCATCTAGTGCACCAATGGGCCTATAATTTGGGAAGCAATAGTCTTTTTTTTTTAATGTGATAAACCAAACACTAGGCTCAACTAAATGAGAACCACATCACCAATCTAAAACTAGCAATGGGAACCTGCTATTAAAAGACGACCTCAGCCGTACCAGCAATGTCAGCACATACATAAATAACAGAATGATGGACTTATGCATGCTTATGAAGGACTATACTATTGTAATAACATGGGGAATAAGTTTGGGAGGAGGGAATACGGTGAGGGGATAGGAAATTCCCAGAGCATATGGAACTGTACCATAGAATTAAAATAAAATAGAAGAAAAAAAAATCTACCTCAGTTGGCTCTGGAGACACTTTTCCCAGATGCTTTATTCAGCTTTTAAATAAAAGATTCATAATAAGATCCCAGATTTCTTATTCTTATTAATATAAAACAGAAATTACTAATTAGCATTTTGGGGGCAATATTCTCTTTTATTTTTTGTACTTGTTCAATAAGAGGTAATCCTAATTTTAAGCCTACTTTATAAAACTACCCAATAACATTATTCTGTATAGGTTGACATTTCTTTAAACTAGCATTTTGACATGGACTTAAAAAAAAAAAAAGACACTTTTAACAATAACAGTAGTAAAATCATCTGATGAACTAACAACTTCTAGAGATATTAACAGTTTTCTGTGGATCTACGAAAGTGCATGTATGCACCAGACTGTAGTTAGAAAATTAGCTCAAACTTAAGGGAACTATAAATTTCCATATGGATATAAATGCTATGATCAATAAAATATAACTCCTACTTAAAAAGTACTACTAAATTCATAGAGACTTTTTGGCAATGATAATTTCACAATCAATAGACACTAAAAATACACTGTCTTCAGGAGATACCTTAAAAGTGTAATTTTAACAGACTCAAATTTTTGTAAGGTCCTGGTATTTACAATTCTATTTGCTCAGGCAAACATTGTCTAAATGCAGTGTTTGAATCCAAATGCTTAGAAATGATAGTACTTGACTGGTAATTTGTATGGCATGCAAGGTGAACAAGCCTAGCTATTTATAACAGCCAAATAAACACCATAAAAATCAAAGCCGGGCATATAAAATAGTATAGATTATCTGCTTAAGTAAGCTTAATATACTAGAACCAAATTAACAAGCTAGAAATTCACTATATCAGAATCAAGCTGGACACCCATTGGTTCAAGTGGATGACACGGCTGGAAACAGAATTGACCCAGCAATTGCAACCACCAGCATGTGCATAAGCTTATTGGGGTGACAGAATGTGCCAGACCCTGCACTGGCAAATTCACACAAGAATCAGGTTTGGGATCATCTCAGATGAAGTTTCTTTGGAGATCCCTTCAACTGAACTGCTGATCTCAAAACCCCAACCATGAAGAGACTACGTCAGTCAGTGGATTCTGAATAGGTTTCATTGCCGTTGGAATGGCGAGATTGGCAGCAATTCAGAACTGTTCAACTATCAAAACTGCTTGAGCAGGACCCTCGGAGCATGCCTCACATCGGGGACCTGGGATGGGTGGGAGGCTGGGTGGGGCTTCTCCCTTTGTTTCTACCCTGACCCCAGATACAGGGGATAAAAATGGAATTAGTGTGTAAACAATAGTATTACCCACTTTCCTGTAGCCCTTGATCCTTTGTACCTTAATCAACTAAGTAAGATCATTTTTTTAAAAAATTTAAGAAAAAGAAATTCACTATACAGAATAGGAAAAGATCCCTATTACGTCCATAAATAACAACCATGTCCAGTGACCTAAGTATATCCCCAAATTATCTCAAAAAACTGAACCTAAATCTGTTACCAATTCTCCTTGTTTAACAATACAAGATTTATGCCTTTACTTTAAACTGCAGTCAGTCAATAGACTGTTCAAATGCAATGAGGCCATAAGCTTAGATTTATAGTCAATGAAACCAACTGACTAATTACCAAATTCTCAAATTTTTGTATAAGCCTTAATATCTTTTTTTTAAAGATTTATTTATTTTTATTAAAAAGGCAGATATACAAATAGAGAAAGATCTTCCATCTACTGGTTCACTCCCCTAATGGCCACAGTGGCCAGAACTGAACTGATGCAAAGCCAGGAGCCAGGAGCTTCTTCCTGGTCTCCCAGAGTGGGTGCAGGGTCCCAACGCTTTGGGCCGTCCTCTGCTGTTTTCCCAGCAGGGAGCTGGATTGGAATTGGAATAGCTGGGACACAAACCGGCACTCCCATGGTATCTCAGAGCTTGCAGGGAGTAGGATTATTCAACTGAGCAATTGCACTGGGTCAAAACCTTCATATCTTAACCCTAAATAATATTTTTTTCATGAATCAAGCATGTCTGGTCACCAGGTCACATAAGGCCAGCAAAAACCATGTGGCCTGGAACTACCACATCACTGCAGGTAGGACTTGAAATTCAATACATCTGATTTTTAAGGTGATAATATTATATGACCCACAAATGACATTATAAATGATCAAACGGTCCTTGGCATAAAAACAGTCCCTCACCTCTGAACTGTAGCCCTTCCATTTCTAACCTTACATTGATAGAGGATGAAGGACACACAGCAGGTTATTTAAATGAACTTATCACTGTTCAAATCCATGATGTTAACCAGAAATTACTTTGCTAAGAAATATATTTCTATTATTAACATGCTTTCTCGCTTTTTACTTTTCTTATAAAAGATGCCCCCAAAATTCTCTGTTAAATAAAGAATCTCTAGATAATATTCCATGTGACATCAAAGATGAGTATTTCAGAGTTTTGATCACATTAAAACAGTGTAAGAAATATTTCTGATTTGCACAATCTAAAAACAGCTTTATACCAAAACACTCTCCAATAAACCAGTCAGTGAACTAAAAATAAGAACATATTGAAAATAGTAGGTAAAAAGAAGTCCAACTGAAGCATCTTCCCCCGCATTTTCAAGTTCCTGAAAGCTGCTGGGGAGCTTATGTAAGCACTGAGGTTTGTTTTTGCAGCGGGAAGGCTTTAAGTAGGAGGCAGAGGGGAGGTCTAAAATAACAAGTCTCCAACAGCATAAGCTAAGTGCAAAAAGGCATCTGGTGCAGCAGCTAAGAAGCAATTTGGGACATGGGCTTCAAACCCCAGCTCTGCTTCCAACTCCACTTCCTGTCTGTGTGCACCCTGGGAGGCAGCACAGCATGACTTGGGTCTGCAGCCGTGTGGGAGACCCACTCTGAGCTTGCGGCTCCTGGCTTTGGTCTGTTACAGCCTGGCAAGACCTCTCTTTGTGTTTCAGACTTCTAAATAAAAGGAAAATTAATAATTTTTTTTTATTTGCAAGTTGCATAAAGTCAGATTCTTTTGTTATGAAAGTATAGCACACAGAGCAAGAGTGTTACATCTGACTAAATCAGATCAAGTCAGGTGATACTAAAAGCCACCTGCCATTACTTTCCAACAGCTGTGTAACAAACCACAGCGATGTAATTCTGACTCCCCCAAATACGTGAAATCCCTTAAAGAAGAAGCTGTCACTCCCCCTAATGACAAAATCATGCTCCTGTGGATGGTCGAGTGGTGGTTAAACTACCTCTTGCAGTGCCAGCATCCCATATAGGCAATGGTTGGAGTCCCAGTCGCTCCATTTCTGGTCCAGCTCCCTGCCAATGGCCTGGGAAAGCAGCCCAGGGTGACCCAAGTACTTGGATCACTGACCAAATGGGAAACCTGGAGGAAGCTCACTGGAGGAATAAACCAACAGATTAAAGACCTCTCTCTGCCTCTCCCTCTTTCCCCATGTGCAACTCTGCATTTCAAATCAATAAAATCATGTAGATCAATCTTCCTAGTAATACCATAATATCTACACTATGTTGAGACAAACACACTCAGAGAAGGCCTTGCCTGCAGCCACACCCATGCAGTGAGCCATCAGACCTGCTCCTCCACGCTGATGCTCCTGCTGCCTTTAATTCCCAGTGAATCACAGGCACAACAGAACACCACACTGTACCCAGGCCCCTGTGGACCGCTTAGACCAGCCTCGTATCCATTTCAGAATTGTCCTTAGCAAAAGAGAGACTAATAGCGTCGCTCATTAGGCCCCGTCCCTTTAACGTATGACCTCTGTGTATTACATGGGACCAGCAGTGTGAGAGCCATCTTTGAGGTGAACAGCAATACTAAGACAGTCAGTTATGTTAAATACACAGCCCAGATCATAATTGAGGCCTGCTTTTGAACTGCATTTTGGCCAAGGGGGTGAAGAAAAAAGACTTGACTCCGAGTTTTCATTTAGTTTTAGGATGTATACAAACGTTGACTATACATAAATAGGCTTAGTTTTCAATGAGAAATAATAATTGTGTTTGCTGATGGCATTGCAATGTGATGCTCTGATATTAAAAAGGCAGAAGGGTCCAAACATTAACAAACTCATTAACAAGCTCGTTGCCTCATATACTTACTGTTTTGTGCAGAAAGCATTTAAAACTTACTCTCTGAGCGATTTAGAAATATTCAATGCATTATGATTTCTTAGTCACCAACGACTCTGCAGATCACAAAGCCCGCTGCTGCGGCCGAGTGGCACCTCGCACCCTCGGAGTTACCTCTCCCGCTGCCCCGGCCTCGGGGGCCGCGCTCCACACCCCACCTCCGGCGCTCACACAGGGCTCCACGTCCCTACCTGTGGCCATGGTAACTAATGGATCAGCTGAAACACAAAACTGGTTACCTTCAGTTTGTGCGCCTCTTTTTTATCCCCAGCAAAAAATGAATTCTCGTCAAAGTGCAAAGGAAATGACCTGAAACAAAATGTTCATTTTGTTATATCATAAAAATTAAAAGTCCTGCTACTAATATAGTACTTTAGCATAATTATTATATGTATATATCTACATGTAATTATAGTAAATAATTAAAATAGGTAACAAAATAATGAAAGCGGGGTGGAAAGTAAAATATATTAGAAATACAGTAAAATCCATACACGAATACCCCAGAACACATTCTTATCCCCATTATTAATACTACTTGTGTAACACAGTAAGAGGGTATGCCATGAAGTAATGAAAAATGGAACTTGAATGTGCATTTCCTGCAAACTTTTCAAAGTTTCTGTTTCTATTCAAACAAATATGTACATCATACAAGCATCAAACACTGAAACAATGGTTCTGGAAGCTAAGAAGCTGTGTACCCAGATCAAAACAGAAACAAACTTTCATCCTAAGACATCTACGGACAAAAAGAGCTTTTAATGAATTTTGAATTAGTTTCTTTTCTCTAGACGATTATTGCAGAATTAAATTTTGAATACTACTTGTCACACATCTCTGAATGTGACAGTTGTGAAAATATAAGAACTTAAATAACTTACTTGATTTCATGAAGTATTTCCAGAAGTAACTTCTTGTTTTCGGCATCCTGAATTTTGTTTCCGGTGAACAGCTGGAAATCTGGACGCTCAAAGAAAGGTAGCACTTTGGATAGAGCCCTTAGTTCTATCAGGTAGAGAAAATACAGGTTCTTCAGCCTTCTTGGTCCTTCACCCTCTGTCAAAACCCCATCAAATCGCTGCTGGAACTCCGTGATGTTGTGTCCCCATTTCTTATCCAACCAGGTATCTGGGAGGAAAGAAGAATTAAGTGTTATCAATTGAATGTTATAATTAGGTTGCTTACGGGTGTAGAGATTAATGTTATTTTGACTTTAAAATATGGAATTTTTTAAAACCATAAAAATGATTTTTCATGGCTTAGCCTTAAAGAGTTCCACCCTCACGTCTTACCTTCTGGAACACAGCCTTAAAGTAAAATCAATTCAGTGCGTTACTGAGAAAGCAGGTTTTATCAAAAATCAAATTCCTGAACATAAACATTCACATACCTAAATATTCAATTTAAAAATTATTGTTCAAAATTGTTAGTGAATTTGAAGAGATATTACTGTGTTTTGGTGTCCAAGAGATACAAGGCATTAATCCCAGAAGGAATGCATTTCTGATGAAAATCTGCCGTGGCACACAGGGCTGCAAGGAAGGCTTCCCCCCATCGAAGCTGCAGGCCTGATGCTGACATGTAATTGTATGGGTTCTGCAACGAGGGACACTGTGCTCTTGCAGTGTTTTCAAAGCAGGTGAAACGGCTAAGAGCAATTCTTCAGTTCTATCTCTGTTGCCCGCATTCCTAATGACTGCTTTAAGAAAGGACTTTTATTGCCTGCTATTCATTCAGGTCAGTCTTTTCCCAATTCATACCGGCACCAAGAAGATTTTAAGAATACCTGAAAGCAAGTATAATAAAACAAAAGTAAAAGGCACATACCTTGTAAAAGATATCTTGCACTCAAATGCACATTGATGCTTGCATGGAGGCCAGATATAAGTCTGTAGAATGCTCTTTTTTCCACACACAGACCTGGAAAAGTCAGTGATTGGGAAATAAATGTCATGTGAATCTTCAATGCAAAATTAATTTAATGTCTCTTTAAAATGAGAAAATGATCATATAAATATGTTTAGAAGTTTCCAATTACCTTCTAACCAACTGTAAAAAGTGTTCTCTGAAATGAAAGAAAAATTAAGTCACAAGGTTGTTAACAATGCAAAGACACAAGTCTTTAATAAACAGTGATTACAGATGCTTCATCTGAGGGCTCTGTCTTGCCTGCAGCTTTGCCAAGGGCAGCACTGAAGCTCGTGGTGTGGACACAGTTCTGGCTCAGTCTGCCGTGAGGCCTTTAGCACTGCCTCAGACAGCCCCATTCTCAGAGCTACGAAAGTGGTTTTTGCTTTTCCTTCCAATTTTATTTAAGTATTTTCAAGGCAAAGACATAAAAAAAGCAAAGAGAGAAAAACAGAGAGAGAGAGAGCACGCTACATCTGCTGGTTCATTCCCCAAACGCCTTGCGACAGCCAGTGCTGGGCAAGGGTCAGAGCCAGAAGCCAGGCACTCAATTCAGATCCCAAAAGCCCATCACAGCCAGAGCTGGGCAAGGGTCAGATGCAGAGCCAGGTACTTAGGTTAGGTCCTTGACCTGTGTGCCAGGAACCCAAGCACTTGAGCCGGCCCTGCTGCCACCCGGACCGATGTTAGCAGGGAGCTGCATCAGGAGCTGGAGCCAGCACAGGTCTTCCCAGGCGGAAAGCAGATGTCCTAACCTGGGGGCTAAAAGCCTACTCCCTGCATGCAGTGCTTTCTATGCAGCCAAAGCACAGACTTTAAACCATGACTCAGCCACAACTAGGAAAGCACATGGCCTTATTAACAATTTATGGCAACGAAAACCCAGGGCCACTTATACACATTTTTACTTAAGCTTTATTTTATATTTACTTGAAAGGTAGAGTTACAGGGCTGGGGTGAAGGGAGATCTTCTGGCTGCTGGTTCACACCCCAGATGCCCACAATGACCAGGGCTAAACCAGGGCTAGACCAGAACCAGGAACCAGGTCTCCCAGACACGTTAGGGACCCAAACACTTGGGCCATCTTTTGCTGCTTTTCCAGGTACATTAGCAAGTAGCTGAACCAGAAGTGGAGCAGCTGGGGCTAAAACCAGCACCAATGTGGCTTGGCAGCATCACAAATGGTTGCATAACTCATTAAGCATAACTCATTAACACCAGCTGCATATGCTTTTTATATTAGGAAAAATCATAAAATTGTATTGGAACTGTATTATCTGTCTATGGTTGGTAGTATTGCAAGCCATTCTTTAATTCAAAAAAGTAAATGAAGTGGAAATGTTACATAAAACATCATTTATAATCTATGCCCTACTAAGATCCCTGCTAATACATCCAGACCTGGTAATCCTGACTTAGAATTATTCTGTAAAGAAGTAATTCAAGAGTCTAGCAAATGTCATGAATAGAGAAGTTTATACAAATGGTGGTAGCAAGATTGGAACTGTTGATTTTGTAATATGCAAGAATATCAGAACAGAAGATATTGCCCTCTACCTATAGCTGGTGAGGATAAAAACCGAGTAATACTTGCAGCCGACACGATGGCTCAACTGCCTAATCCTTCACCTGTAAGCGCCAGCATCCCATATGGATGCCAGTTCATGTTCCAGCTGCTCCACTTCGGTTTTTTTCCTTTTCTTAAGATTTATTTATTTTATTGGAAAGTCAGATACACAGAGAGAGAGGGGGAGAGACAGAGAGAAAATTCTTCCATTCACTGATTCACTCCTCAAGTGGCCACAACAGCCAGAGCTGAGCTAATCCGAAGCCAGGACCCAGGAGTTTCCTCCATGTCTCCCACGCATTGCAGGGTCCCAAGGTTTGGGCCGTCCTCCACTGCCTTCCTAGGCCACAAGTAGGGAGCTGGATGCAAAGTGGGGCTGCCAGGATTAGAAGCAGTGCCCATATGGGATCCCAGTACATACAAGGCGAGGACTCCTGCCACTAGGCTACTGCACTGGGTCCCAGCACCTCCACTTCTAATATAACTCCAGGCTTGTGGCCTGGGAAAGCACGGAAGATGGCCTTGGCACCCTGTACCTGTGTGGGAAATCCAGAAGAAGCTCCTGCCTCCTGACTTCAGATTGGCTCAGCTCCAGCTGTTGCAGCCACTGTGGGAGGGAACCAGCAGTCGGAAAATCTTTCTGTCTCTCCTCTCTGTTAATCTGCCTTTCCAATAAAAATAAGTAACAATTTATTTTTAAAATATTGGAGCACATGTTGGAGTCCCAGCTGCTCCTCTTTTGATCCAGCTCCCTGCTGATGCACTGGGAAAGCAGCAGAGGATGAACCGAGCACTTTGGTCCCTGCAGCCCCATGGGACAGCTGCATGGAGCTCCAGGCTTGGGCCCATCTGCTGCTTTAAATGGAAGATCTCTTCCTCTTTATCACTTCACGTTTCAAATAAGAAAGTGTTAAAAACTAGAATAAAATAATCTTAGTGCTGAACAGCGTGTCTTCAAACAATAGCATTTGATTTAGCTATTACAGTGTAAAGTAGACAATCGAGACAGCAACTCTAGCCTTCTTTTATTAAGACATCATGCAAAAGGAAAGAACATTTAACATGGAACAGACAGCATCCAGGAGCCCTGCTCTGTGGCACAGGATGAGCTGCCACAGATGACGACAGCCCATCTCAGAGCCCCAGTTCAAGTCCTGGCTGCTCCAGTTCCTCTCCAGCTCCCTGCTAATGCCCCTGGGAAATGGAAGATGGCCAAAGTTCTTTGGCTCTGCCCCCTGTATGACAGACCTGGCTGGAGCTCCTGGCTTTGACTGGCCCAGACTCAGATCACAGAGCCATTTGGGGAACGAACCAGCAGATGAAAGACTCTCTCTCTCTCTCTCTCTCTCTCTCTCTCTCTCTCTCTCCCTCACTGTCATTCTACCCTTCAAATACATACATCTTCATTATAGTAACCAGAAGATGGAGGATCGTGAGGGAAAGTGACGGCTGCACATTACAGCAGTCTTACCTGGATGTACTAAAGCTATTGCCACTGCTAAGCCTATGGCCTCAAGAATAACTAAAAAGTCTTTGTAAGCTCACCCTTAAAGCAAAACAGATTTTCAAAAAGTAAATCTAGAAAATGTCAACATTTTAGCACAACTATTAACTTAACATTTGGCAGCGACACCCACCCGCACGAGTCAGCAAAGCCTTAAAAAAACAAGCCCTGGACCGAACACTGCGCATGCCCTCCCTGTACACCTGGGACTCAGCCAGGCTCCAGACAAGGAAGTCATCCCTGCTGGAAGGGCAGCTTGTTCAGGGGGTGACCTCTCCCCAGGCGCAGCGCGACAGTGGGCTCGATCCTGCCTGCCTCAGACACGGCCAGTGTCCCTCAACTCAAGCCTTCACTCCCTGAAGTTCAGATAAAGACATAAAAGTCAAGTCCTTCTCGTTCTCAAAAAAAAAAAAAATCACCTTTGCCTTGATGAGCACATCAAACAAATTCACAGTTGTAACACAGGATGTAGAAGCGACACTTACCTTTACTTTTACCTGAAAAACAAAACAACAAAATCCATCATTATTATCGTCTCCTTCCAGCTGCGCACTCTCTAACGCTATGCCTTCATAACAAGTGTTTCTTAATAGTTCAACCACACCACCAAAACATACCACCTGGGACTGCCACTCTGGCTGGGGACGCCGGCGACTGGCACCTGACTCAATCTAACAGCACTGTCTCAGGGAGCGAGACTCACGTAAGCTCTCCTGGGGACAACCACAGAGGAAAAACGTGCCCGTGTCACTCGAGAGGGCTGCTCAGCATCTGAAGGATTTGTTTACCCTGCAGAGCCCACATTTATTGATCCTACAGCTGCAGTCTAATTTCGAGAAAGATCTGTATTGTTGCTTTCAAACCTCCAGATGTGAATTTTGCTTTACCCTTCGTCAGGAACATTGAAAGCCTGTGAGATTCAAATTATGTAGAAGGCAACAATTTACGTGCAGCTGCTTGTTGATTATTGAAAAATTCACTTCGTCTTGCCCACTTTTCTTGAAAGCTCTTACTGCTTATGAAAGTAATACACTCTTGCTACAAACATGTTCAAAAATAAAAGACCCAGGCAAAAAATAAAATTAAAAACCATGAGTTACTGCTCCTGCCCAATGATAAACATCATTTATATTTTGGTAACTGTCCCTTTTGTTTGTGCGTGGGTATAAAAATTATACCAATTATATCTTTATTAAAAGCATACTTGTTGCCTTAATACCTTTGTTTTCCTTGATGTACTACTTCTGATCACTTTTGATTTAAACAAATAAGTACAGATTTAGAGTAACATTTACTGGTGGCCGCATTCTATTGTGTGACTATGTCACATGTCATTTGATAAACACACTGCCCATTTATCTCTAAGGTAACTGAGGGTGGCACGTTTATCAAGTCATAATTGAGTTCACCTCTTGCCTATAAGCTGGCAGTTCCTCTGCTATTAAATCAAATGGTTTCCAATAAGTATACACTGACTGACAACCTGAAAAGCCTTATTGAATATTCTTTCCTTTCTACTCAAGGAAAAGCGCATCCACCAGCTCTTAGGGAATGACGTAACCACATCAGTTTCCCAGGGGAGATTTAGTCACTGACTATGACATCACCCCTTTTCGGATGATTTTAAACATATAAGCCTTACATGTTTTCTAGAAGCACATACAAGACTTTACCGGTAAATACACACCCAAACCAGCTACAGATGCTTTTAAAGGACAGAGCCTGTTTTTAATAACAGATCCTTCTGCCTGCCATCAGCTCAGCAGACTCTGGGTTTTGATTGCACCTACAGAGTGGCGACCTCAACAGTAAATAGTGATTTACCATTTGTGGAACAAGTGGTTTTTCACAATTGTCGACAAGACTGTTCAGTGAGCGGAGTCACTTACACTCATCACTTCTCTAACAAGCCACCTTAGGCTGTTACAGGATGAAGGCTGCCCAGGCAGACCAAGCACCAGGATAGAGTAAGAGAAGAACAATAATAAAACAATACTACATTGGGGCGGGCGGGAGGGGGATACCACAATACCAGGAAACAAAACCTGCTATGTGGTAACTTCCGGTTAGCAGGATCAAGGAAAGCATAGTAGAAAAGGCAGCATTTGGCCCAGACCTCAAGTTAATGAAGAAAATGAAAAATGCTAGACATGTGAATTTGAAATCAGACTCCCCATATATGCGACCATTTCAAGTGTTATGGAAAACTCGACAAGTTTCTTAAACATCCATGTATCTAGAAGAGGCAAAGACATGGACAAACTATACACATGTGAGTCTATGAAAATGAACATAAGAATAAGCAGACATGTGCTGGTCTTCATCTTACGACATTCTAATACGATGAAGCTCATTATAAAAAACATTCTTTACTAAGACGGAAGCATTGTAAACACCCTCTTTGCACTCTGGGAACGGCATCTCTGCTCTGTGACGTCACAAGCCCTTGGCATTGATCTCAGCTTGGCCCCCTTTCTTACTAAAGTTCACTGGCTGCTCATTCACAACAATGCAAGTAAATCACCCACCTTGACCGGAAGCCAAAGGACTCAATGGCCTTTTAATGGTCTGTGGCCTAGAAGCAAAAGAATTCAAAGCACTGCATAAAACATGAATGTTACCAAATCACAATACAACTACTTCAGTGATACTCTCGCAAGGAAGCTGCTTCAATAAAATAGTGCTTAAAATAAAATTATTTTATTCAAATTATAAAATAGTTTTCTCTAATTGCTTTAGGAACACTGTGGATTGTTATTTTTACCGGTAACAGCTCCTCCTCTTTTACTGCTGCATTGACTAACAGGCTACTGCCTTCCTTTTATTTTTTTAAATTGGAAAGGCAGATATCCAGAGAGAAGGAGAGACAGAGAGGAAGATCTTCCTTCTGTGATTCTCTCCCCAAGTGGCCGAATTGGTCAGAGCTGAGCCGATCTGAAGTCAGGAGCCCATAGCTTCTTCCAGGTCTCCCACGCTGGTGCAGAGTCCCAAGGCTTTGGCCCGTCCTTCACCGCTTTCCCAGGCCACAAGCATGGAGCTGGATGGGAAGTGGAGCTACTGGGATTAGAACCAGTGGCCATATGAGATCCCAGTGTGTGCAAGAAGAGGACTTCAACACTAGGCTACCACACCAGGCCCAACTAACAGGTTATTTTCTAATCACCTCATTAAACAAAGGAGAAAAAAAATGCTAGTCAGCCATTTCCTCTAGATCACCAACACGTTTTTATATGTTATACATGTTATACATATATTGCATCAAAACTTAAAAATGGAAAAAAACTAGGTAAATTACTTACACTAGGCTAATCATTTTTTTTTTAAAGATGCATTTATTTTACTTGAAAGAAACACACAGAAAGGAGAGAAAGAAAGAGATCTTCCATCCACTGGTTCCCTCCCCAAATGACCACAACAGCCAAAGCTAGCCCAACCCAAGCTTCCTCTGAGTCTCCCACATGGGTGTGGGGATCCAAACACTTGGGCCAGCCTCTGCTACTCAAACAGGCCTCAGGCAGAGGGTTAGCCTAACACATCACCAAACAGGCTCCAGGTAATTTATTTAAGGGTTATTAATTTGATACTACACTTGATCTTAGCCAAAAAGCCAAGAAGCGATAAGGATTATTAATTTGAAAAACAGAACAAAAGAAAAGGCAGAGAGGGAGATTGGCAAAGGCAGGGGGGAGGAGAAAAGAAAGAGAGAGAGATCTTGTATCTGCTAGTCTACTCCGCAAATGCCCACCAGAGCAGAGGCTGAGGGCAGACTGCACTCCATTCTGTCTCTCCCCTGGGGAACAGGGACCCAACAACTGGACCATCGTCTTCTGCCCTCGCAGTGGCACCACTAGCAAACTGCCCCAGAAGCAGAGCCAGCAGGACTTGAACCAGTACTCTGATATGGGATGTTGGCCTCACAAGTGGTTTACCCCGATTTTCCACAATTCTGGCTTCTCGGTAATCTTAAGACATGTTAATTTTCTCTGTAGCCATTAAGCTAGTTAAGGTTTAAATTCAACTTTTTTATCCCCTTCCCAATTCCCTCCCCCCACCTAGTTCCTCTATATCATTACTAACATATAATTCTTCATACACAGTCATATGTCCATCACTGCAGGCATGGACAATGGCAGAGAGTCCAGGGAATATGGAGCCGCATCATAAAATGATAATAATAATAATAATATGTAAAAAAAAAATTCAACTTTTTTGCCAACAACAAAAAAAAAGCCATTAATCTTTGGGAGAGTGATTGGGGAGTTCACAGGCTTCTAAATCCAAAATAAATATGCATTAGTATTAGTCTGTACAAACTAAGAGATGCTGAGAACAAAGTAAGCTACATTTTAACACATTCAATATAATCAACTTAATATCTCATATATTGTTTACTGTTAAAAATATTATGGGAATCAGGCAATGAATTAGTAATAACTGCAATACAAAGAAAAACACAAACCTTTAAACCTTCAAGTCACTAAACCAAGTATTCCTAATAATAATCAAGAAAACTGAAATAAAACACATGGCAGAAATAAGTAAATAATGAAAACGACTCACTTTTCAAACTGAAGACATTTTTCAAGACAAAATAAAAAAGAAGCCGAACAGGGATGGACGTTTGGCACAGCAACTGAGCTGTGTGCCCTGCCTGCCTCCCTGCGTCCCCTCTGAGAATGCCCAGCTCCAAATGCCAGGCTCTCCACCTGTCCAACAGTCATGTCTAGGGGCCAGTACTGTGACACACCAAGTAAAAAAGCCACTGTTTGCTGTGCGTGCGCTCAGGTTCCAGTTCCAGCTGTTCCACTTCCAATCCAGCACCCTGCCAGTGCAGCTGGGAAAGCAGCAGAGGACGGCCCATGTGGGTGCTGGATTAGAACTTTAGCCATCCTCTACACCGCGTGACACTATGTCCTCCGGGAAATGAAGGAAACCTCTGGCTGCACGTTATCCCCTCTGCAAAGTAAGACTCAAGCACCCACTCAAGGGCATCCTTCCAAGTGCCCACAGCACTCCACGAGGACCTAACGCTGCCTGTAGTCCTTTAAAAAGAAAGGTATGTTGAAATGCATGCCTATAGGATTCCCCAGAGGAGAAACAGACTAATGAAAACACGTCATGTAACAGAGTAAACTTGATTTGTAATCTTTAAATTATTGTAATTTAATTTAAAAAAGCTTATCTTACAGAGATTACTAAATGCAAGTGACACATACTTAAAGCAGTTTTCTTCATAGATGACATTCCATATCTTCCAGGCATCTGGTCCTTTATAACCTGTGTAACGCTCGGGATTCAGCAGCAAATCTACATACTCGGCATCTGGGGACTGGATATCTGCAAAGCAAGATGCCGCGTTAAATCCTTCTTAAACAGCCAGTACACGAACCTGTACCTCATTGATCCTGAGATGCTATAACCACAACAATGCATCAGGGATTTCAAAATAACTTCTCAGAAGGAAGCAACAGACACAGCTGTGTTAACTGAACACACCTGTGTCAAAAACATCCTTATCAGAGACAGTCGTTAGAAACCAGGGCTCTGGAGGCAGGCTGGGTTAGAGGCCAGGGCTCTGAAGGCTGGCTGGGTTAGAGGCCAGGGCTCCAGGGGTAGACTAGGTTAGAAGCCAGGCCAGGGCTCCGGAGGCAGGCTGGGTTAGAAGCCAGGCCAGGGTTCCGGAGGCAGGCTGGGTTAGAGGCCAGGGCTCCAGATGCAGGCTGGGTTAGAGGCCAGGGCTCCGGAGGCAGGCTGAGTTCAAGGCCAGGCCAGGGCTCCAGAGGCCAGGGCTCCGGAGGCAGGCTGGGTTCGAGGCCAGGCCTGGGGTTCTTGCTGGACTATGGTCTTGCAACTTTTTATTGGCTGAACTCTTTAGTTAGTGCAGCTATGAAGTCTTTGGCTATAATGTAAATTAAAATATACTACCTCAAAAAATAAAATAAATTTCAGGTTAAAAAAAAAAATAATCCAGGCCTCACCTCTTAATTTACCCTGCATATCAGATATAACTTCAAAACCACAACAGTGGCATCGAGGCGCCCAGGGACTCCGGATGCTCCTTGGAAACCCATCAATGCCAAAGAGTGATAAAATGGGCAAAAATGGCCTGAAACCACCCCAGTGGATGTCACAGGGACAAGCTGCAAAGCCCACCCAGCTCTCACAGTAAACAAAGGTTAACAAAAAATAATAATAAGCTTGGTCACTTGTATTCCAGTTCACCTATCAGAAGCACAAACTAGGGAGACCGTTTCAGAAGCAGCATGCCGGTGGCACCTAAAAATAGCTAGAAGTTAAATGTAGAAGTGGCAATTATATACACTTGGAAAAGTCAACACAAGAACTTTAAAAACAAATTAGCAAGTGAATCGTCTAAATTTAAGGATGGAAAATTCTGTTCCCTACAGTTACCACCAGAGGCAACTGTCACAGCCTAGCAACTTTGTAACAAATTCCTTTCTTTAAAAATCTCTGAATTTTAAGATAAATAATGTACTTTAAAACACAACCCCACCAGGAAATGGTTTAATTTTTAATTATTCTCCCTAAGTAGAGACAAATGTTTGTTGCCTCACCTTCACCTGTGACAAACACTCTTCCTTTCCCTTCACCTAAATAAACAAAAAATTACTACTATAACCGTGTTTTGCCACAGGACACAAGCTCAAATTTTTTGTTAGGCTTCCCTCCTTCACAAACAATATATATTCATTTTGGGCCCGGCACAACAGCCTAGTGGCTAAATTCCTTGCCTTGAATGAGCCAGGATCCCATATGGGCGCCAGTTCTAATCCCGGCAGCCCCACTTCCCATCCAGCTCCCTGCTTGTGGCCTGGGAAAGCAGTCGAGGACGGCCCAAAGCCTTGGGACCCTGCACCCACATGAGAGACCCAAAAGAAAAAATATATATTCCTTTTGTGAAAAGAGTCATGTCCTTTTAGTAGAAGAAACACAATAAATGGGCAATAATTCACTTTCCTTTACCAGATAATTGCTGAATCCCAATCAGCACTACATATTATAGTCTCAAAAGGATACATTTTAAATAAAAGTTCAAGTTTTTTTTAATTATTATTGTATTCAATTATTTGAGGGACAGACGGAAGCTCACTGGCTCACTTCTCAAATGCCCAAAATGCATGGACTTGTCCAGACTGGAGCTGAGAACTACAGCCTCAATCCAGGACCCGTGTGGGTGGCCCAGCTGGCTTCCCGGAGGCCCGCCCGCCAGCGAGGCCCGCCAGCGAGGCCCATCACTAAGGCCTGCCACTGAGGCCCGCCAGCAAGGCCCGAGGCCCGCCTGCAGCAGTGCGGAGTCAGGGCCCAGAGCCAGAATCCAATGCAGGCACTCAGACATGGTGACCAACTATCACCAGGCTTTTGGCAACACGGCAAGCCTGAAGATAAACTTGGGGATGAAAAATGTTCACGTTTCAGTTTTCATTTCATTGCAAAAAAGCTCCAGACTCCTGGCTTCAGACTGGCCCAGCCCCGGCTATTGCAGACAATAGGGGAATGAACCAATGGATCAAAGACAGTCTTTCTCTGTCTCTCCTCCTCTCTGTAACTCTGCCTTTCAAATAAATAAAAAATAAATCTTGCAAAATTCAGCTTGGAATGCCCAGTTCCCGCTAAGGGTGCCAGGTTTGCATTTCAGCTGGGTTCCTACTAACACACACCTCGCTCAGCAGCACACGCCTGCCCAATCTGTTGCATTCCTGTCATTTCAAGTGGGAACTGAGAACAGGTACCTGGCTCCTGGCTATGGACTGACCAAGTCCGGGTCACTGCAGACATTTGGGGAGTGAATCAGAAGTTAGGAGAGCTAAATACCTATCTTTCTGCCCTCGTAATTTTCAAATAAGTCATTTTAAAAATTGTTTTTGGAAAGAAGAGGTTGCACAAACTTCTCGAGGAAATCACTGCTTGTTTCTCTATTCATCCTGAGTTATTGCGAACTTTCTGGCTATGGTGAATTATGCTACAACAAGCAATGGTATACCATTACCCATTGGAGTGAGTCCCTGCTTCAATTCCCTGAGTATACATACCCAGGAAGGGAACTGCTGGGTCAAAGAGTAATTCCGTATTTAGGTATTTTTAAGGAATGACTATAGTGCTAGAAACTGTTTTAAAAATCAGTTTTAGGGCCCGGCACGGTGGTGCAGTAGTTGAGGTCCTCGCCTTGAACCCGCCTGGATCCCATATGGGCGCCGGTTCTAATCCCGGCAGCCCTACTTCCCATCCAGCTCCCTGCTTGTGGCCTGGGAAAGCAGTCGAGGACGGCCCAAAGCTTTGGGACCCTGCACCCGCGTGGGAGACCCGGAACAGGCTCCTGGCTTCGAATTGGCATAGCATTGGCCATTGCGCTCACTTGGGAAGTAAATCATCGGATGGAAGATCTTCCTCTCTGTCTCTCCTCTCTCTTTCCAATAAAAATAAAAATAAATCTTTAAAAACAAATTTTTTAAAAAATCAGTTTTAAGGGTGGACAATAGAGGTTCCTTGGGATACTTGGGTTCCATATCATTGTGCCTGGATAAGAGTCCCAGCTCCACTTGCAATTGCAGTTTTCTATTAGTGCCAACCCTAGGCGGCAGCATGTACTCAAGCACTTGGCTCCGTGCCACCTACAGGGGACACCAGGATTGGGCGTGGAGCTCTTAGTTCCACCAGCTCAAACCTAACTGATGTGGGAATCTGCCGAGTGAAGCAGCTCATGACAGCTGTCTCTCTCTCTCTCTCTCTCTCTCTCTCTCTCTGCCTTTCAAATAAATAAAAACTAAAAAAAGAAAAGAAAAATATTCAGATTTTTTTCATAAGCGTAATCTGAAACAATGCATGCTGTAAAAAATGCTTTACCGTCGGCTTCACAGAAGTTATCTGAAGAATCGTCATGTTTGGTCCACTGAAGGACGGCCTTCTGGGTCTCCTCACTTGAAACAAACAGAAAATGCTGTTATTCCTTTTTGAAGTTAACAAGTGCCATAAAAGAGGCGTAAGATAACTGCTACCAAAAAATAGATAAATATATATATGTGTGTATGTATCAAACCTCAGTGATTCATCCACTGCACCCAGTCGTTCAGCTTGTTCACATTCTTCAATGAGATTATTGGCTTCCTCAGAATACTACAAGGAAAAAAGCAAAGAGAACACGGCTTCTTGTATTTTAAACTTGCAAAAAATATTTTAGATATTATTTGAGGCTCTTTCTATGCATGGCTTCAAAAGTTTTTGCACAGAAACAAACTTGTGCGGACTGGCACTGTGGCCCCAGAGGTTAGTCCTCTGCCTGCAACCACCAGGATCCCTTATCGGCAAAGGTTCCTGCCCCAGCTGCTCCACTTCCCCTCTGGCTCCCTGCTTCTGGCCTGGGAAGGCCTCAGAGACGGCCCAGGTCCTTGGGACCCAACACCCACATGGGCAACCCTAGGAGGTAGCATGCTGGCATTCAGACTGCTGAATTCTGACTGCTCAGCTCTGGCCATTTGCAGCTACTTGAGTAAATCAGTGGACGAAAGATCTTTTTCTCTGTCTCTCCTTGTCTCTGCAAATCTGTCTTTCCAATAATAATAGTAAAAAAAAAAAAAAACAACTAAATAAAAATGTTTAAATCAACCTTTCGAATAAAAACAAATAAATCTTTGAAAAAAAAAAAAAGAAACTTACGAAACCCTAGTTACTTTCTACTCATCCTAAGCAGGAAGTGAGTACAACTCATGGGTTTTGGGTGGTTGTTTTCTTTTTTTAAAGATAATTATTGATTTGAAAGGCAGAGGAACAGAGAGGTAGAAACAGGTTGAGAGAGAAGTCCTCCATCTCCTGGTTTACTCCCCCAAGTGGCCACAACCGCCAGGGCTGGAATAGGAAGAGGCCCGTAGATTCCTCCAGATTTTCCACATTGAGTTCAGGGATCCAAGCATTTGGGCCATCATTTGCTGCTTTCCCAACTGCATTCTCAAGGAGCGTTAGCAAGGAGCTAGAACAAAAGTGGAGAGACAGGACTTGAACCAGGACCCATAAGGGATGCTGTGCTGCAGACACCATGGCCCTGGCCCCACTCGATGAGGCTTCCGGGGACGTCACAGCAACAAGTCAGCAGCAATGGAAGCAGGAAAGAAGACAATCGATCAAAAAGCGATGACCAAGTTCCCCTGACGGCCCCGTTGGTAGGACGGCCAGATAAATCACTGTCCACGTGGAACAGTAAAACAACTGGCCACTAAAATACCTGAAACAATTTTCGAAATATTTATGTACTGAATGCCATCTTTCATTATAATTATTAGACAGTTAAATGCAAATGTTATCTTTAAAAATAAGGTTATTTTTCTTTCACACATAATGAAGTACTAAAGAATAAAAAAGATATATCAACTTATAATCAAATGGTTCTGGAAATAATATGAAAAATCCTTCAAATTTTCTAGGTTGGAAGTAACTTCAAAATGAAGCTAAAAATATGTTAAAAAAATTAAATTTATTCTAACAGTAACATATACCTATGTAAAGAATAACATACACTTAGCAAACCAATAGTTTAGGGGTTGGCATTATACCACAGAGGTTTCAATCACTGCTTATGACACCGAGATCCCAAATAGGGATGCCAATTCAAATACCAGATGCTCAGCTTCGAATCCAGCGCCCTGCTAACGCACCTGGGAAGTGAGGAGAAAAAAGGCCACATCCTCAGGTCCCAGCCACCTATATGGGAAATACAACGGAGTCCCAGGCTCCTGGCTTCAGTGGGACGGACTGAGAAGAAGTATAAATGAAAGAACAGTAACAGTTTGTACCCTCACAGAAGCCTATGTTATGCAGACAAGCAGACATTTATCAACATTCAGGAAGCGCACAATTAATACTTATGCATTTCACTGTGTGCTGATATTACAAAAGGTACACATTAACAATGCTGGGAGCCCAGCACAGCAGCCCCTGCATGCACCCAGATTCCATATAGGCTCCAGTTCATGTTCCAGCTGCTCACCTTCCTTTCCAGCTACCTGCTTGTGGCCTGGGAAAGCAGTAGAGGATGGCACAGGCCTTGGGACCCTAAACCTGCATGGGAGGCCTGGAAGAAGTTCCTGGTTCCTGGCTTCAGATCAGCTCAGCTCTGATCATTACAGCCAGTTGAGGAGAGAACCAGTAGAAGGAATATCTTCCTGTCTGTCCTTCTCTGTAAATGTGCCTTTCCAAAAATAAATAAATATTGGGCTTGGCACAGTAGCCTAGCAGCTGAAGTCCTGGCTTTTCATGTGCCCGAGATCCCATATGGGTGTCAGTTCTAATCCCAGTTGCTCCACTTTCCATCCGGCTTCCTGCTTGTGGCCTGGGAAAGCAGTCAAGGATGGCCCAAAGCCTTGGGACCCTGCACCCGTGTGGGAGACCCAGAAGAAGTTCCTGGATCCTGGCTTCAGATCAGCTCAGCTCCATCCACTGTAGTTACCTGGGGAGTGAATCAGTGGACAGAAAATCTTCCTCTCTCTGTCTCTCCTCCTCTTTCTGTATATCTGACTTTCCAATAAAATCTTTAAAATAAATGATAAATAAACAAATAAATAATCTTTAAAAAAAAAAAAGAACAAATACTGGACTCTAGTTACTGGCCTACTTCTTGTTACGAATGTTCACCTACTTAATGAGATGTATTTAAGAAGATGTGTACTGATGTCTGAGTTTACTCTGAAATGCATTCAAAAATACGATGTTCCAATGGAAGGATAGGAGGACAAACAAATGGTCAAATATGCAGCAAATAAAGTTTATCAAAATGTCGTGATAGGAACTACGTGATGAATACCACAGTATTCATAGGAAAAGTCTTTCAACTGCTCCATATTTAAATTTTTTCATAATAATGGGACTAAACTAATATTTCATAATATTAGTTTAAATGAATAATCCTATATCCCCGAATGTTGAGTGGATGTACTCTGGAGTTGAACATATCCCATTCCTGTCTTTAGACAGTCTTGGAACAGACCACTAACTTAGGGAGCAGACACTTGGGCTTTGTCGGCCAGCTGGGATGGCCTGTTTCCCCACTGTCAGCGACACTGCCTTAGCCCTGATGCATAGCAAATGAGAGTCCTCTGCAAGTTCCCTCTCAAAAGTCTGCCATGAGAAATGTAAATTCAGCACTTCACTTTCACTGAAACATATATCTCTGCTTTCCTTTTTAGAATAGCTATTTCAGCTAAAAGGATTCATTGCAAAATTTAAAAGCTTTCTCATAAGGTGAAATAATTACACAGTTGTCAGTTTGAAATGGAGTAAATATACTATATAGTAAAAGACAAAGTCACTAAGGCAAAACTATTCCCTTGATGCAGGGCTTTGCTTCCCCTGTTTCTCACAAGCAGAACTCCACTGCCCAGGTTTCCCACGGGCCTGCAGGGCAGGGCATACTAACCCGTCCACAGCACAAACGGCTGCTGAGTCCGAGACCAGCAGTCTAACACTTCTCCTGCCAAGACTCTAAGGAGGTAGGCTACCCCCAAGTGTTCCAGTGCAATTCTTTGATCAGCGGGCATCTAGTATATTGTCCTTGAAAGAGAAATTTAGTTCCTAGCATCCAGACAAGTCAGAAGAAGACTTTATGCATTACAGTACAAAATAAATATCCACAAATGCACAGTGCTATAAACAAATCAGTAAGCATGTGGGAGACAATGCGAAACTCCCATACTGTAGAATTCCAAATAATTAATGCAGACACTCTGTTCTGCAGAAATGTGGACTGTCCACAGCGACTTCCTTCCAAAGACAATACGGAAAGGGCTGGGGAGGGTTGGGGAAAGGACACCTGCAGTGGGACAACTGACAAAAGCCACCAGGGCCAGGTGATCCAGGTTATCTGACAGAGTCCCACTGTCAGCACCTACTCCTGACAGTGAGGGAAACTCCACCGACCTTGGTCGTCCTCCCCTGCACACCTCAGCCCAGGCCAATAACGGGAAGAACATCAGACAGATCCCGATGGAAGGACATTCTACATAGCATCTGATTAGACTCCTGAAAAATACTTTGTCAAAAACAAAGTCTGGGAAATTGTCACAGGTTAACAAGGGGTATCCTGTATTGGAATCCTGGACCAGTTTCAACAGGACGCTGGGTGTAAGTTAAAGCCATATGAATCCAGAATGGACTTTCTTTAGTAATAACGTACCCACTTTTGTTCACTGATTATAATAAATGCACTATGCTCATGTAGGATGTTAATGATAGGAAACCAGTTGCATCACACACACACATACCTTGTAGCTTGCAGATTTAATTCCGTCAGGAACTTCATCCTGCACAAGGAAACAGAATGACAATTACTACTTCAAATTTCTATGATTCATGAGAAATCCATAAGACAAATTACTGATATTCACATATTTTTTAACCGAGAACAGTCAAGCAGTTTTTATATTATTTCTTAAAAGCAAGTAAAAATTCAACAAATCATTCTATGAACTGCCATTCAAATATTATGGACTTGAAACATCATCCTTTCTTTTGCTGTTCAAACTGTTCCATGTTTGGCCACCAAGAGATCAAACGAGTGCCCACTTGACAGGACTAGCTGTGTAGTCATAATCCGCTCTTAGAATGTAATTGAGAAGAGGAGTGACAGAGAGAAGAAGGAGCGCCTTCCCATCACCTGGCCTACTTCTCCAATACCAATAATGGGCCCTGGCTGGAAGTCAGGAGTCATGCACTCAATCCAGGCCCCCTGTGTGAGTAGGGGCAGCCACCACTGCTGCCTCCCGCCACTGCTGCCTCCCAGGGTGTGCATTAGCAGGAAGCTAAACTCAGGAGCCGGGCCAAGCAGAGCCCTGCTCTCCACTAATGTGTCCTATCTGGAACCTTAGCAGCCAGCCTAACCACTCACCTACAGAATCATTTTTTTAAGGAGCATTGGTTTTCGGTGGTGCTGACCACCTAACTAAGCAGTCTGCCTGTTCCCAAAGTGATGCTGTGGGAAGTCTGAACACTACAGGGCACTACGCCAATGCCAGGTACTTTCCTGAAATAGATGCACCTGCCCAAAGGGAAGGACATGCACAGCTCATCACTTCATTGCGTATTTCACAGACTTCCAACTTGATCAATGTATATTATTTTTTTAGATGGATTTAACTGTTTTCAAATAACAAAGAATATCATATTTAGTAAGGATTAATTTCAGCAGGATTGATATCTTTGCCATATTTAGTATAGCTTTAAGGTTATCTGTGAACATTTGCCTAACTGATTTATTAAGTAAAACTTAGTAGAATTGCTAGAACAAAGAATGTGTTCCTTGGGCCCAGTGCGATGGCGCAGTGGCTGAAGTCCTCGCCTTGCACGTCCGGAATCCCATATGGGTGCCGGTTCTAATTCCAGCAGCCCCGCTTCCCATCCAACTCCCTGCTTGTGGCCTGGGGAAGCAGTCGAGGACGGCCCAAAGCCTTGGGACCCTGCACCCGCGTGGGAGACCCAGAAGAGGCTCCTGGCTTCGGATCGGCATAGCACCGGCCGTTGCACTCACTTGGGGAGTGAATCATCGGACGGAAGATCTTCCTCTCTGTCTCTCCTCTCTGTATATCCACCTTTCCAATAAAAATAAAATAAATCTTAAAAAAAAAAAAAAGAATGTGATACTTTATAATTTTCTGATACAAATTTATCTCTAAGAAGACTTAACCACTAGAGGGCTTATCTCTTCTTTCAGAACTAACACTGGGTATTGCTGTGCTTTTGCACACCAGCCAGTAAATTACAGGTAAAAGAACTTTGTCCCAGCTGCTCTGCTTCCCATCCAGCTCCCTGCAAATGAGCCTGATGATGGCCCAAGTGGCTGAGTCCCTGCCACCTACAGGGGAGACCCAGGTGTAATTTGGCTCGTGGCTGGGAACTGATACATCCTCAGCTGTTACAGGCATTTGGGGAGTCAATCAGCAGAGACAGCAAGATCTCTGTCTCTCCCTTTGTTGCTCTGTCTTCCCAACAAATAAGTCTTCAAAAACAAATAGTAGGGGCCAGGCATGGTGGCCTAGCGGCTAAAGTCCTCACCTTGAACACACCGGGATCCCATATGGGCACCGGTTCTAATCCCGACAGTTTTACCTCCCTTCCAGCTCCCTGCTTGTGGCCCTGGGAAAGCAGTGGAGGACGGCCCAAAGCCTTGGGACTCTGCACCCACGTGGGAGATCTGAAAGAAGTTCCTGGCTCCTGGCTTCAGATCAGCTCAGTACTGGCCGTTGCAGTCACTTGGGGAGGGAATCATTGGACGAAAGATCTTCTGTCTGTCTCTCCTCCTTCTCTGTGTAGCTGACTTTCCAATAAAAATAGATAAATCTTTAAAAAAGAAAGAAATATTGGCAAGCCATCTAAAGTTGTGAGTTAACTATGTTTAATCCAGCAGCTACATTTTTTAAACACATTGTTGACTATTACAGGCATAATACATGGCTCTTTGGTCCTTTCCTATAGGTGTAGTCTGCATGTTTAACAGAGAAATGCCAAGATTATTTACAATAAAATACAGCAATTTACAATATAAATGCTATTTATGAAAGTTAACAATTTAAACTGAATATATTCCAAAACATATGAAATGGTCTTTCAGCACCACCCAAAGAGAAGCCGTGAGAACCGAGTGCAGACGGGGCAGAGAGGAACATGCATGGCTGACGCCCTTCTCGCCACCCGGGGTGGAGCTTCTCCCAGCCTCGCTCCTCTCGCTCACTCCTCTCCTCCGCTCTCCCAGCGAGCTCGGCTCCAAGATCTCCCTAACACACCTGGACTCCAACACTCAGGTTTCCCCTCTCGAATCAAAGCCAAAGTTCATCTTGCATGCCCAGGTCCTGGCATATAAGAAAGACCCCTAAAAATGTTTCATCATTAAACCAAATCACATTCATCTGCTAACTGATGTGACCTTTCCAGTTTTTTGTCTGGTCTTCCACTCCCCTACAATACTGTCAAGTTATCTTTCTAAAACTCAGGTCTCGCCCTGGCACTTAGCTCCTAAGCTGGCACACAGATTTGCAAGCCAGCGAGAGTTGTAGATAGACAGACAGCTTCCAAAAGGAAAGGCCTTCCTTCCAGCATGATCTTCACTGAAGAAACAATAAGCCAGTTCCAAAAGGTCAAATGTCATACGTTCTCTCTGATACAAGACAGCCTTCCGGCAAACTACAAAATAAATAGAGGAAGGTAACCATGCTTCACGCGGACACACGCTCTCACAGACAACAGCATGACACAGACCGCACAGTGGGTAGTAAAGTTATGCTACAGTAAGCATCTCTACCCCCATTATGCAATATGTAAATAGGCTCGCATACAATGCTGCTAGGCATTCTACCTCTAGCATTCCTACCATATCCTGACACCACTAAATGGCAGAAAGCTCATCTTACAACTGTCAGTAAGTAACTACCGCAGTGTAATCATCTGGGGAATAGTGGGTTTGGGATTTATCGGGATGGAGAGAGAGTAGGGGAGAGGGAGGGAAAAAAAGCCTGTACCTACAAAACTATATCAGGGAAAATTAAAAATTAATAGTAATAAATTTTTAAAAGGAATCCAGGCACTTCCAATGTGATATGCAAGCATTTTAACCCATGTCTTACCCACCACATCAAAGACTTACCCCTGCAGTCATACTTTAAATATTAAAGAAATGTCTTATTGTTTAATAAAAAAAAAAAAGGAAGGCTGTGGGCATGGCAGGCACTCTGTTCTGCCAGGTCAGAGCCAACCAGCCCCCATCCATTCTCTCAGACAAACCACTTCCTCCACCTCTCTCAGCTCTGCCAGGCATTCCAATCAAATAATAAAATGTCTATCTCTTAGATCTACAAAATTGCTTTTTTCCTCTAGGATTTACAACAAAATATACCTCATCCTTCAGGCTTTCAGTTTCACAATTTCTGCTATCATAACAGAATACTTTAACTTGTAATGTACCCAGTCTGCCTAAATGAAGCCAGGTATCTCCACCCAGAAAACCTAAGAAAAAAAAATACACACCAAATAAAGGGAAGGGTTTTGATTACTTCAATTAACTGCCTTTCATTATACTACATACAGAATTTTCTTCGCATAAGCTCCAAGAAGAGGACCCAGTGCAGTGTCCTAGAAGCTAGAGTCCTCGCCTTGAACGACACTGGGATCCCACATGGGCACCAGTTCCCATTCATGGGCCCCGCTTCCCATTCAGCTCCCTGCTTGTGGCCTGGGAACAGAAAATCTTTGTCTCTGTCTCTCCTCATCTCTATATATTTGACTTTGCAATAAATAAATAGATCTTGAAAAAAAAAGATCCAAAAAGAAAAGCAAATATTGAACCAAATGAATGAATCACCTATCCACACAATTCTATCATTAAGAGGGCAGTATATATTGCAAAATAGGTTACATCGTTGCAAGTGTTGGTTTTAAATATGTAAATGCTGGATGTTGCACTTACGGTAAAAACTGAAATACTACCTTAGCTATAATGGTGACAGGGTCGGGCACAGTAGCCTATAGCCTGGGGTCCCCGCTATGCACAAGCTGGAATCCTAGCTGGGCAGTTTTGTGTCCCAGTGATCCCACTTCCCATCCCGCTCCCTGCTTGTGTCCTGGGAGAGCAGTGGAGGACAGCACAAGGCCTTGGGACCCAGCACCCGCATGGGAGACCAATACGAGGCTCCTGGCTCCTGGCTTCAGATCAGCTCAGTTCTGGCCAGAACAACTCAGCTCTGGTCATTGTGCCACTTGGGGAGTGAATCAGCGGATGGAAGATCTTCTCTGTCTCTCGTCCTCTCTGTATATTTGACTTTCCATTAAAAATAAATAAAATCTTTTAAAAAAATTGTAACCAATAAAAAAAATGTGACCATTTTTAGTGCAGACACAGTTCTTACCGATTGACAAGGTCTAACAGCACAATCCCTCCTTCCACACTGGTTGATATCATTCCAGAAAGGACAAGGCTTCTTCAGGTTCACCTACAAAACAAATATTGGGAGGAAAGAAGTATGTAAAAATCTGAAACCCTAGACTGTAATAAGCAGATGTTGAATTATGACAATATTGTCCTATCAGCAGCTCTGTTATTTTCTTCCACTTACCTGTTGCCAGGTTCTACTGAGTGTTTGAATTTGGGACAGGTGGCAGAAGAAACCCACAGAGCTCCCATGAGCACTGCCCAACTCAGGGGCTTTCAAAGCAAGAAGCAGTTCATGGGCAGAGAACAGTCAAGGCAATTAGGAATGCCTACAGGAGCTAAATACGCCAGTGAACAGTTTTTCTGAACCCTTTCAGTAAGTATCTCAAGACAAAATATTACAAATGCTATTTCAGAATAATACCTCGGACTAAAATTATGCTGCTTCACAAAAATACTTATTTTAATTAATTACAGTCAATCAGATGTTTTATAAAATTAGCAGGTTTGTATAACAATACAATAGTTGCTGCTCTAACTTCAATTTAGCGCTCTCACCTCTAAGTCTAGGGAGGAAAACTCAGACCATACAATTAAAAGCATCCAGTGGGTAGTGTCTGAACCACATGGCTAATTCTTCTGAACTCAGTTTTCCTAATAACGCCTCTGTCAATTTTAAGTAATAACAATTTTCCAGCTCAGTAATTCGTAACAAAATGTAATTATCCATTGAAAATATTCTCATTCCCAAAATATCAAATCACAATACCTTGTAATATCTAAAGTAGTCGCTTTCCAGGAGTTTCTGTAGTCTTGGGAAAAGCCTATAGTTATTAAATTTATCAATGGTTTCAACATCACAGGTACAATCATCCAAGTAACCGCTAACCTGTTGCAAAGGAAAGTGACACAGTGAGTGGCGTGTTAGACACAGCAGCATTCTCTTCCTTCCCACGGCTGCCAGGAAACACTCTCCTGCCCAACCACCCCTCCCCTCAACTCTCCCCACTGATGATGGCAAGAACCTGGTCACACTCGCACTGCTGCCCCTATCACACCCCGGAAGAGTGCGGGAGCAGATAATGTTTGGGGGTGTAACCTCCATTCACCACAGCCGTCATGGAACCCTGCCCTTCCCCGCCAAGGTTGGGCACATGACCCAAACCATGTCATGACCCCTTCTCCAAAAATATGAAATGGCAACTAAGAGGTAAGGATGTGTCTCTCTGAGACTAGCACAAATGATGGGTAAAACTAGGACCACATTCGCTCAGGTGACCTGGGGAGCGCAGGCGGCAGCAGGACAGAGTGTCAAAGCTGCAAAAGCAGCAATGACAGGAGACTGAGGACACGCGACGAGACACACAACCTGGGTTCCAGAGGGGCTTGCAGCGCCCACCCAAACCCTCCTTCCAGAAGTCACACATTCCTTCTGGGCTCTCCAGAGACTCCAAATTCCGCTAATTCACTTGTCTCTGTGTTTTTTTGTTTGTTTGTTTGAAGATTGCATTCACTTATCTGAAAGAGAGAGATCTTCCATTTACTAGGTCACTTCCCCAATGTGACAAATGGGGCTGGACCGGGCCAGTAATTCCATCCAGGTCTCCGGCAGGTGGCAGGTCTCCAAACTTAGAGCCATTTTCAGCTACCTTCCCAGGTGTATTAGCAGGAAACTGGACTGGAAGTGCAGTAGTTGATACTGTAACCAGCAGCATGGGATGCCAGCAATGGCGGGTGGCAACTTAACCCACAGCACCACAACACTGGTCCCTTTCCCTTATTTTAATTTCCACAAGATGTAAGAGTCAGAGGCAAGCTGAGTAAGTGTATAAGCAGTGATACTGAATTTACAGTATAAGGTTTAAAAAAGCAAAGAATTTGGAAATAGTACTTAGATACTACTATCAGTAAAACTAAGCAAACTGATTACAAATTCAATCCCGATATTCAAATGCTTAAATCTATGTCTTCACTGTATTTCCTGATCAAAAATCATTAAATACACCCAATACTAGAACACAATACAAAACTATAATCAGACAATGGTATCAGTTGTGAAACTGCAAATTTTGCACGTTTCTTGGGATCCAGTCAACACTTTAGTAGAGTTCATTAAACAGTGTTTTATGTAGTACATAATGGGGGGAGGGGAACCCCTACAACATTCTTGAAAAATAAGCTCAGGAAAAGAAATACTACGGTCTGAATATTTGCATTCTGAATTAATTTGAATAGTAATTTGAATCACAATTTATGCCATACAAAAATCACTTTAAAATCTACCTGTAAAAAACATTAAGAATCTTCAGTGAAGTCACTGAATTCAGACAGTTCCTCTTTGGAATATAAACGGTGTAGCTGACCTTTGAGAAGAGTCAGACTGGGTAGTAGGCAGTTAGGACGTTCTGGGTCCCCACGTCATCATTTTTTCTCTAATGTAAAGGAGTATCTTCCCCCACCATGCCTTGGATTCAGCAGAGCAGTCTCTCCCCAGGAGGGACAAGGGCGATATTAACATATCAATTCCCCACCTGAAGCCTCAGCCCGATTCTGTCCCAGGCCATTGCCAAGGGGGAGGGCTTCAGTCTGACCTCTTTATCATTAGAAAGGGACCAAGAAAGTTGGCCAGTGACACCTTACTGGCCTTTTGTCCTAGGGCCAGGTACCATGGAAACCAGGAATTTTCTTTTTGTTTATGGAGAAACATCTTTGAGGTAAAGCTTCAAAAGATGCTTTCCCACACGAGTCTCGTTTCCACTTTTCCTCCTGCCACTATGGAGAGGGTAAGGGTCCTTTCTATCTCAGAACCCTCTCCTGGCACTAGGACGGGAGTCTCCTTTCTCAACTTTTCTAATAAATCTTGCTTTAAAACTAAACACGCATGGGCCCGGCGCGATGGCGCAGTGGTTAAGGTCCTTGCCTTGTACTTCCGGGATCCCATATGGCCGCCGGTTCTAATCCCGGTAGCTCTACTTCCCATCCAGCTCCCTGCCAGTGGACAGAAGATCTTCCTCTCTGTATATTATAAGGATTTATTCCAATATCCTACCCTGGACCCTGCGCCATTTCTTCCTAGCAGCTCACGGGATTCGCGCCAGTGCAGCCATCCACCAATCAGATGTAACCTGGCATTCCACCTGAGAATCCCACCCCCAATCTCCCAGCCCCTTCCCCAAACCCGCCCACTCGCCAATCATCCCCAGGCATTCACCTGCAGGCACCAATCCCCTGGGGCCTTGACCTCAATCCCTCCCAATCCCCGCCCCCCCACACCTGGCAGACAAAAAAGGCCCCCAGGTGCGGTTCGCCCTTTTGCTCTCTGTCTTCCTCTCCTTGGTTCCTCTCCCCTGCTCTTCCTCCCTTCCCTCCCCTTCCCCTGTTCCTGCCCCACTCGGTTCTCTCTCTCTTGCTCTCTCTTGCTCTCTCTCTTGCTCTTGCTCTCTCCTTGGTTCCTCTCCCCTGCTCTCCCTCTCCTCCTTCTTACCTCCCTTCCCCCTCCTTCCCCTTCCCCTATTCCTGCCTCGCTGGAATAAACTTCCTAAGATATGTCGTTGCGTCTGGTGTTTTCAGCTCACGGTAAAGAACCAGGTTGCGAGAATTAGCTGCGGCGTAAAGTATCTTAATATCGTATAACCTAGCACTAGAACTCTTACATTCTTTTAAATAACTAACATTTGGTGCCGTGACCGGTCGGTTTCCCCCAGCACTTGGCCACGTGGCCTTCGGGCCTTTGGCCACTACCGGGACCCGAACCGTGAGAACTGTGATCTGTGTTAACTGTCTTCATCTGCGCCACCGAGAGTCGTCAGCAGCCGTCAGAATCCGTCTCCATCCGCCCGCTGGTTCGTGAATTCATCTCCAATGGCCTGTTCCTGATTTCGCCTGCCGGTTCCAGAATTCTCTACCTCCATGTGGCCGTTCCTGAGTTCATCTAACTGACCGTGCTGGCATCTGCATCCATCCAGCAGCGCCATTGCCCAGACGCGTGCTCCCCGTACTCCATCTCCACGCGGAGCACACGAGGTATTCCCCATCTTTCCGAATGCCACGTTGTTGCATGCATACACTGTTGTAGATAGGGTTCCCTTCCTCAGCCCTTGGAGTTTTGGGTTTGGCTTGGCATATTTGTGCTCCTCTGAATAGGTCTGATTTTCCACTTCTGGGAGTTTTTGGGAGACCGGTTCTGTAAACCCCGGCTGAGTGCTGTGTCTCTTAGCCACTGGGCGGAAGTCCCCCGACCACTGGGTCACTCTGGGGGCCCCCCTGTACCTCCGAGTCGGGCCACTGGGCTGTTTACGACTTCGGATACAGGCGGTGTTTTGGGGACCTGGCTCGTCCCTTACGTAGGGGGTGACGACCTTCTACGAGAGCCGTCTTTTCCTGACCACTGGGTCGCTTTTACGGACCACTGGGTCCACCATGGTAATCAGTCCTGAGTTGTAATAATGGGAGCTATTTTTTCATTGCCAGTTCCTCCCAACTCCCCTTTGGGCTGCCTTCTAGCAAATTTAGACACCCTTGAATTGGCTTGTTACCTAATACTTTAATATGCCTCTGTGATGTGGATTGGCCCCAGTATTCCCTAGCTAACTCCTTCAAGTGGTCAGTTAATGGCATTTCGGATCCGGACATCTTTCGGAACCTAGCTCATTGCTGCATGCATTCGGAAAAATCGGCGGAAGTCTCATTCCCTCTTCACTCTCGGCTTTCTGTCTGTCTTTTCCGTAGTTTTCTAGCTATGAAGTAGGAAACCCCAGTGCCCTCTTCCAGGGTCCTGGCGCCACGTGCAACCGCCATCTTGTCCTCCATGTGCAGTCGACCCCCACCCTCTCCCTCTGTCCGCCATCTTGCCTTTTCTCTCCCTGCCATCCCCCACTATCTGAAGGTCTCCATTTGCTCCCCACTGGGAAGCAAAGATTTCCTGTTTAGAACTTTTCTGTTTTAGCCCTTAGCCTAACTTGCTCTCCCAGTTTCTTTTGTCTTGACCACATCCAAACACCCTAAGGGCCTACATTTCTGTAGCTTTCCCTCCCACCCCTTAGCAGAGAGGGGTGGAGTAAGAGATAAGTGATTTAGCCTTTCCTTTTAAAAAAAAGGGGAAAAGAAAAAAGTGCAACTTGTTCTGTAACTTAATGTAATGTGAAGTAAATAGATGCTCACGTTTGTTTCTAGGTTCCAATAGATACTATTGCATCCATTGCAGATAGAGCTAAAGTTAAACAGTAAGCTACAGGTTCCAACTGAAAGCATCTTTAATTTGGGTTTCTGAGAGCAAGATATAATTCTAAATAACTGGTAACTTTAAGCTGGTAACTTTAAAGCATTTTGAAACTTTAAACTTGTTTTTCAAAGGCTGTTACGAAAGCTGTTTTGTTTTATAATCTGTGTTAACTGATATGCATGTACATGTTTATGTGGCAAGCTATGTAGTCTATTTAATTAACATAGATGAAAGTGTTCATAGATGAAAATTGCTAAGTTAAATCTCTTCATTTTGTAAATAATTCCTTGAGATTAGGGCCACAGAGAAATCCTCCAACTTCTTAGAATGCTTGAGGAATGACTGGGTATATTCCATTAGATCCTATACAGAAGAGAATAGGTGCTGTATAGATGCTAGATTCTTAACTACCCTGGATGTTAGGACAGAACTTTAGAAACTTACAAATGGGACCTGAACATACCCTGATATCCTCTTAAAGGGGTCACTATGGTCTTTACCTTAAAGACCAGGAGGGGATCCCATGGCAGAGCAGGATGAGAGAGGTGTGTGCTCCTGGTTCCAGTGAGACCCCCAGAGGCCTCCCAAGTGCTCTTCGTTGCAGAAGCAATGGAAACTTCGTGAAGAATCATCAGAAAGGACACCCAGGGCCGTGTCCCAGCTACCAA